ATAGTTCTGTATATTTACAGGTGTAGAATAACAATATCCGCAATCCTAAATCCCCAATTTGCATTGGTAGTTTATTAATATATAATACAGAGAGTTTTATGCAGCTTCGATCCGTGTTTAACAATATGAGCTTGATGAAGATTGTGCATTAGCCATATGCTCGGTTTTGAAGCCGGGTAAAGCAGAGAATTATTTTAGTAGGTTGGGCTGTGTTCACCATAATGCTCATTGCGTATCACCATTTCAATTTAGAACACGCCATTATCAGTTTGCAGATTAAGGCACGTCAGTGATGCTCTGCGAAAAAGGTTCTAAGCCCCAGCAAGGCATTTGCGTCCTTTGCCGTCCTCAATTGCTGTTCATAAGATGAAAGTCACGCACCTGAATGCGGAGAGCAACATTCCAGAGGAACTGCAAATTCTTCTCCCTGTGCCCGTCCACAAGATCACGAGGTACGAGGGCATCCCCTCCCATTCGCAAGATATGCTGGTTGCCTCTCGCCAGCACGTCCAAGGCCAACTCGACGTTTTGCACCTCCACAACCTTCCAATTGGCTCAAAAGTTCACCTTGGACAGTATGTCCTTACACCCTGGGGATCATGCAGTGCGGTTCACGCTCTGACCTGTGAGCGCTCGCGGCTGTCACGTGAGTGTGTACTCGTCACCCAACATTTGCAACCTTGGGGAAATACTCACACATGCCTCACTCACACAGATGCAGGCCAATACTGCCTCGGGATCCAGACAAAGGGGCATGTTATTTCAACCACACGATCGCAGAGCGAACAATGCATGGAAAATGACAGCATCAAAGAATAGAGTTCAAAAAAACAACAAATGGAGACATGCACAAATCGTCGGCATATGCCACACGCATGTCATGCATGCATGCGCATCCCATATCGTATTCATGGCTGCAGGATCTGCGCGGAAATCCACTTGCAGTCTCCAGCTTCTGTTCTGCTATAGCATTACTAGCTGTGAATGCTGGTCCTGCTCATTGTGTGTAAAATTCACTGAATGTGAAGACCGTGAATCAGCAAGTGCGTGCACCACGCACTAGTAGAAAACAGCCTGTTTGCGATGCCAACTCCATTGCCATTTGACAGAAATTGATGCCATCACAGCCCCTTTTATGCCATCGCAATCACTGTGATAGCATCAATTTGTGTCAAAATGGTATCGCAGCTGGCATCGCAAATAAGCTGTTTTCTACCAGTGAGGGCAATTCCATGAACCCCTACATGTCAGCCGTTGTGCTACCTTGCATAGGTGGATGCCATCCCTCAGGTCCACCGCAAGTGAGCCCACTCTGTAGTTGAATTCGTTGTGGCTATTCTGTGTATACTGCAGCTTGTAGCCCATCAACTCAAGCTGGCGAACAACATTGCTGGCCCCCCTGCGTGCTGTTGGCAAGAAATTCAGTGACCATCTGCGCAGGAGCAAAGAAAACTTGTGCGGACAGCAGTTGTCTTATTGGGCTATGCTGCCAATTCAAGCAAAGGAGCATTCCTGAGTCAAGCATTGATGTGCAATATCTACCAAATACAGCCGACTTTACGTAATATGCATGCACATGATACCTTACAGCATACTGGTAACACTATACACACGTACATGTAGTATGGGTATTTAGAAGCTGTTGGTGAGATATTTAATGCTTAGCTTTGGAGGAATACACAAAACCATGATCTATTTGAGCAACAGATGGCGGGATCTTGGCCAAATTACAGTGAGATTTGGACAGTTTTTTGAAAAGTCAAAATATATATTCAAACGGATGCATCAGCCTAAACAGGTGGCCGGTCCACTTCAAGCAATCACTTTGTGGTATCTTTGCTTGCCCAAACTTAGGCTTTGTAGGGCGCGTATTTGCCCGTGGCCCACATTCTGTGCACGATAGGACTGCGTAATGGGACAATCTCGTCACCAACAGCAATCTAGCCGCATAGTTTTTGTCACTGTCATCAGTGCGTCTAATTGAGTCCGGAAAACCACAGCATCTACAAGCGAGTTGGGCACAAAGAAGTTTCTCACAACCCGAGCAATCTGCAATCTAGATAAGCGGCTCAAGTCCTTGTTATATCGAAGCCTGTTGATTTAATTCCTGATGTTCTTGAGACTGTTGCAATGTGTGGGAGAGTTGGTCGCACCTGAGAAGACGACTTGATCTTTGCCTTGTGTTATGAAACAGGGGAACTTGATATGGCAGTGTGGCCCGTGGCGGTGCCTTGTAAAGAAGTGCAGCCAGCAGCAAGAAGCGTTTGAGGACACATGCACTTCCGCCCGCCTGTTTGAAGGGCGAATCAGCTATGTCAACATCAGGCAATAAGAACATCGTTTGAGGGTCGCCTCGCATGGAGGGGCAAAAGTTGTCATTGCTTGGCAGGGCAGCCTGCGATGGTAGTGAGCAGAGACACCAACGAATGTATGTACGAACGTAGGACGAACAAACAGTTTGGAACGTAGGACGTAGGACGGACAAACAATTTGGATGTGCAGATGTCCATCACCACCTGCAACGTGCAAGGGCTTCGCTTTGTCTTGTTAAGGCGAATGTGATGCAAGGACTTGTAACACCGTGGGCCATGGCAAATTGGCGTTCTTGTTGCACTGGCTCGCACAAATTGATCTGCAAGAAGTCTGCAATGCAAAGATGGGGACCAGTTTTGTCATATGGCTCAGTGCGCTTGCCTTGAATTTGTCCTCAGCCAGCTTGTTGGAAGTTTTCGTTTGCTCCAACCTCTGAACTACAAAAAAATTGGGCTTTGGTGAACTCTGCCAGATGTTGAAGTCCCAGGCCAGCCCCCCCAGTGGCAGAACTTTCTTGTGAGTCCTGATAGGCTGCACAGAGCGGACCACCACGTATGACTTTGTGTGATTTTCGGATCATGCAAACTGGAGCATCATAAATTGCTCGATAGTAGAGTCAGAATTAATTCAGTTCAAAGATGGGCCATTCATTGGTTGCAGCATTCAACATCACATAAGGTATGTTGATGGCATTCTCATTCATTGTGTTCTTTCACCACTAAAAATACATCCTGGAGAGCATAACCATGGCCATCAGTCCCGATCCTCTGCACGACAACTCCAAACCTAGCTCCAGCCGGAATGGGTTGTAGGCCAGAAATGTCTTGATGGCCATCTTCCTCATCCTCGTGTCTTCAAGAAGACCGCCCTGCTACCGCATCCTGAGGTACCCCCTGTGGATATGGTATTCCACCTTGTCAACTGCAGTCACGACGCCTCTGTCGGCCTTGCAGATCGACTCCAGGACGCCTCGGACCATTGCAGTTACCCGCTGTGCATCCAATGCCTGTGGAGTGCTTCCGTTTTGGCACCCAAATGACTGGCCAGCTCCAGGAGCCAGAATGCGGTTGAGTCACGCTGTGTACGTGGCCTCCTGCCGTTCCATCCATAGCCTGCTAGCGAAATTCAAGGGTCTGTGGTGAAGAGCCAGGGGATGGCTGCTGTGTTTGAGTGGCCTCAGCATGCCAGGGTCTAGACCCCACCCTGCCCGAATCCAGCAGGGCGCCAACTGCACAAGCAAGGATCGCCTTCCCCAAGCCCTACAACCGGGGTGTCCAGTGCACGTGCATGAAGTCCCCCCCTCCCCTTCTGATATTCTGGTCGTCCAGGGCTGCGTGCGCGCACTCTGTGCTGGCGCGCTCCTCGCCCTCCTCCGCAGCATGTGAGCAACAGCAGCCGTCGGATGTTTGCGCTCTTCCTCCCGTCTCGACGACCGGGTATTCTCGAACGGAGGTGGGCACCGAGCTCCACGACGGGTTGCCCATCGCCCGGCGCGTCGCCCCCGATGCCGCCCGATCACCCGCTCTATATGCGTGATGCGGACGGCTGATCAAGTTCGGATCCAAGGGGAGGCGCGGGGAGTTCTGTCGAGGGGTGGTATTGGTCGCAGGCCTTGAGGCGCACGGTCCGCGGCCAAGACGCACGGCCGGGGAGCCCCCCCCCCGCTTGCCAAGTTTGGCAGCCTCCAACTGGCAGTGCTGACATCAGCCCACTGTTTCTGGCAAGAAAGACTGAGGGCATCTTTATCGGTCGGTGCTATTGCACCGGCGGAGCTATACAGGAACGGTTCTCATTGGCTGCCGTGCCACCTTACTAAGGTGGCATTTGCCGAATAGCGCCGGTGCTATTGCTCCCCTGTGCGCATCCGCAATGGCGGGTGCTATGCCTACGCCAAATAGCATCACGGCAGCACTACAATGTTCTGCGCGAATAGCCCTGGAGCTATTCTGGGCTGCTATTTGGCCCCGAGCGGTGCTATTCGGGGCCAAAATAGCGCCGCTCGGCGCCGAATAGCTCCGGGGGTGCTGTTGGGGTGCTATTGCTCCCCAACCGTTAATGATGGTTTTGTGACGTGCGGAGCTATTCGGATAGCCGAATAGCTCCGCCGGAACAATAGCACCCACCGATAAAGATGCTCTGAACCCCGCCCCAGACGGATGAATGTTGTCCTCACCGTAGAGAATTCAACCCTTTCGCACCACAAAATCTTGCTGTCACGCTTTTGCTCCACATTTTTCTTTTCAGACTGTTATTTATTTCTTTTAATGTTGCTCCGCAAGAGTTGTTTTATGTTGCCACGCAGAAAAAGGCCAAGCGCTGCGTTACTATGAGGAAGGGTTTAAAAACTTACGGTAACCGCCAAAATGCAGATCCTGGGCGCTGGCGCCCGTTTCTGGCACCCCCCTTTCTCCGAATTCGAATTCCGTCATCCCCTCCCCGGGCCCACTTCCCAGCGCCCACTCTCTGCTCTGCGTGCGCGTCCGTCCAGGCCGCTCCAGACCGGCGACTGAACCCGGGCTAACGCCGGCCACCACGGCCATTGGCCCCCCTGTGGCCGTCGCTGCAATCAGTCGTCCGCCTCGATCGCCTCCCCGCCTCCGCGCCGGCGATTGCGCCAATCGATCGCGCGCCTCCCCCGCGAGGCCCGCGGGAAAAGGCGATCTCGTGGGAGTTGAGGCCGGCGCGAGATGGCCCAGCGAGCCAGGCGCATGTCCGAGCGGTACGCGCTGCGTGACAAGAAGGTGCGCAACATGGCGGAGTCAGAGGACGAGGACCTGCGGGGCATGGCGCCCAGGCGCACGACGACGCGGAGGACGGTGCGCAAGGTGTACAGGGACGCGCAGGGGGTCAGGACGGAGCACGAGGAGAACGAGGTCGTCGTAGAGCGGCGGGAGGTGGGTAGGGAGGAGCGGGGCGTGCCTTCGCACTGGCGCAAGCGCATGCGAGGGCGCGAAATTGGGCCTTGGAAAGGGGGAAATGGAAAAGTAATGTTTGCGCGTGCGAGGGGGGCCGATTGGAGGGACGACGTGGGGCTGTTGGCGCGCTGGATGGGGACCACGCCGGGGGTGTGCGGCCGCTGTTTCGTGGGTGTTGTTGGCGTTCGAATTGCAGAGAAGTGTGTTGCGCGAGCCAGCGGTTCGACTGGGGCTGGGGGGTCCCAAATCTGCGTTGATATCGGCTGTTGCAGCTTTGCGCACGGCGCGTGCGGTGTGCGGCAGGAAACGTTGTTGGTGCACCTGCAGGAAGAGTGGCCCTCACTTCAGGTGGCTGCATTGGCCCTGTTTCTCCGAACTCGCGTTATGTGTGTGAGTAGCGTCTGCACAGTAACAGCTCGTTCAAGAAGATGCAGCATTCGTTGGGCTTCAACGCCTCTTTGCAATTCTGCCTCGAATATGCATCGATCACTGCTGCAAGCCTTGTTCTCTTTTCTTTTGTTTTCCGTTCCATTCATGTTTTTGACCTAGTTGCCGTCAAGCGGCCCCCTTGGGTCCTTTGTTGTATCAGCAAACAAACTGCTTGGAGGAATGCCTGCTGGCTGCCGTTCACGATCCAGCTGTTTGCTCTCTATTTGACTACCAGCATGGTGCATCTCTAGCCCATAGCTGCCGCACAATAGCCACACTCAACAAGCCATCCCCGCTGGTGCTCAATCCCCCTTTCAACAGTCATGGTGTGGATAAGATGTGCCCACAATGTTTGCAGCCTCACTGGAAATCGGCAGTGCAAACAGGCCTGCCAGTTTCTGATTCGCTCCTTGCAATGTGGATGTCACAATTCCGTTGTCCCAGCGTTGCAATATTCTGGAATAACTTTTCTTGGTGACTGCATTCAGTGCCTGGGGAGTGACTTCAACCAACCATGCGACCATTGCACACATGCATGATCACATTGTGCTCCCTGGAGCTCATTTCTGGTTTTCTTTCATTGTCCAACCGGGCAGTATCCTTGGGGTACGAAATTCACTCTGTTTACCTTGTTGTATTGGGACAGCGGTCATCAAAACGGCGCCGCAAAATGACACATAGATACAGCCCTGGAGAAGAAGACAGAATGGCCGACTGGGGCCGAGAGGAGCAGCAGGTGGATGTGGATGAAGATGAAATCCTGGAGCGGCGGCACCACAGCCCCACCTCTGAACAAAGTGGGGACCTCAGTGAATCTGAAAACACTGAGGCGATCGAGTCTGAGATGCAAGCTGCGTCAGGGACTTCTGGTGACTCTGAAGACACAGGAGAAGAGCAAGAGTCAGAGGAGGTGCAAATGTCCACATATACGAGTTTCTCAAGAGCACTGACCAAATCTGCCCCCTTGAACAATTCATGTGTTGATGTATGCAGCAGCATCCAGCAGGTGTTTGGATGTCATATGGTTGTCCTTGGAGGGAGTACCCTGGACTTCTTATAGCTGTGCTTGCCAGCGTAGTCAAGGCGTGGCCAAGCACCTGAAAAATGTTCAGTATTGGCAAACCCCATGTTGTATTCCGAACTGCTGCATGGGAACTGCAGAATGCAAAGCCACAGATACCAAGATGGAGCAAAATGCTACACTTTGTATTTCACAACAGGGGGTCCTTATTTGAAGCAGCCCTGGAACGATGGAAACACTTCACCTTAGCTGGGGTTCTTATCGTGAACTTCTGAATATCAGTGCGGGTTGCTGACAAACTTCCATCAAGATGCATAAGCATGTTGAAATGTGTGCCAGCCTTGCCTGCCACTTTTAACAATGCAATACTTCTGCGCAGTGTGTAGTTGCAGCTTGGCACACAGCAAATTCGCACAGAACGTAAGCTGGCAGTCCCCAGCATCCCCTGAGAGTCCCCGAGTGGAATTCCAGCAGAATGCCCCGCTTTGGCAATAGTGTCAGAACTTCAACCTTGCACTGCAAGACAATACAGGCAGTGACTGGCGCGATGACTTAGTGTGCTCTTGGTTGGAAATTGCATTGCATGAAAAAGCGCTTGGTACTGCACAATGCTTCTAGTTGCAGAAAGCTTGAATGTCCAAGAGAGCATGTGCACCAGTGCATGAACCAAATGCACAACAGTACACAACAACAATACACCATACAGCACCTCCAACATCCTGAAATGAGAGCTGGTCGACTTGTGTGCCTGCTGATCTTTCAGGACCTGCCGTCAAGCATCGCTTCTGATGTTATGAACGTCACCATGCCATTTAAGTGCAGTCAACTCACCAGAATGGTTGAGAATTGGCAGCATGACAAGTTGGGTTCAAACACTTATGGCAGCACCTTGTCGGATTTGGCTGTCTGTGTTTGCCTTGCTTTGCGCTCACGTTTTGTGCAACGACCACTTGGCATTTCAAGCATATTTCCAACGACAATTAGGTGGCTCCATGCTGAAAATGAGGAAGTTATTGTGAATGAGGCTCTTGTGTTGTTGGTTCCATTTGCAGCTCAAGAGTGGGAAGCAAGCATTGTTGTGCATGAATCACAGCCTTGTGTTGAACCTGTTGGCTCTTGAAACAGGATCAGGAAACACAGAAACGATACTCCCTCAGGAGCAGACCGTCTGGCCATGACAGATCAGGAATGCCCAGGTGAGCACAACGGATTGGATGCACAATTGAAACTTTCACTTGTTCACAGGCCCTGCAAACGTTCTAGGGGATGCAATAATTGGGGCTCTGAAAGCACAACAGCTGTTGATGTTGTTGCCTCGATGAAGGTGGATCTGTACAATGCACTGTCTGGTGATTCTTGAGTTCATTACGCATCTTTGTATCATCCCTGTCTGGACACATCTAGCCCTCAAGGCCACAAGCAGTCTATATCCACCACAACTCAAGATGGCCTATGTTGGAAGGGAGGTGAAAGATGATACCCCAATAGAGACAACAACGACTTTTTGATCCACACACATCGGGAACTGCCTCCATGTGCCATGTGTTGTGTGTTGCATCATTTGCAGCATGTATCGTGGTGAAACAACAGTGTGCATTAATGTGTTGTGGCCCTTTGTTGTCTGATTCAGCTGCTTGCTTTTCTACTCGAGGCCTGCAAGACTGCTTGCAGACTGTTCTGCAAGACTGTGGTTTGGCTCATGGCAATGGCACAGATCATCGCCAATGTCTTTGTGTAGGAATGTATGTAGATGACAGGCTGTCTGACAGCTGTGGGATGGCCGTGCTTTAATTTCAAGATGTTTGCAATACAAACTTTCTCTAATGATTTTGGTAGTGGCAACAGGTCATTTCTCAGAGTCATGTGTTTTATGGAGAACATGTGGACACCCTCATGTAAATGATGCACCAAGCACAGACTGGCCGTTCAAATAGCATCGTGAACACCCCACAAACCCCCAGCACCCCTTGCAAGGGAAATGACGATAGGGGTTCCTCTACAGTTTTGCAAATGACACAAGAGTTTTGCCCCTTGTGGGACTGCAGTGCAGTCTGGCGCTGGACTGCCGATGTACTGGCAATGCTTCTCATGTAGGAGGGGTGCTCGGAGGTTCCCCTTCTGTCGTTTGCACCCCTGCAGAGGACCCCCTTTTGTCACAATATCTTGGAAAGGACCCCCTTTTCGCATTTTCCCTTTCAAGAATTCAAAGTGGACATATAGGAAGGAGTGCGGGTCAGATGCGTGTCATGTGGAGGTTTATGCTAACTGGCATCGACATTAATGAACGATTCCTTGGACACTTGTGGTGGCAACGCAGCTGCAATGGTCGGGACCAAAAGAGGAGGGGAAATGGCAGCGATTACCGCCTGCGGCCACAGAAGCACATCACAAAGTACTTTGAAGGCAACAACACTGTGCGGGCTGATAAGGATGACTACTTGGAGGTGGATGAGGGTGTAGACTGCGATGACTGTGAGGTTCCTGATGTGGATATCGTGCCCGACACTGTGGGGCTCAATGCCATCAAGGCGACAGCGGTATGGCGATGGGGCTGGTGCCTAGGATTGTCCTGAGAACCATGCTGGGATTGTAAATTGCCTTGGAACATTAGGATGTCAATTGCATGGGCGAATTTTAAGGTGTCGATGTCACAACAATTTTTGACTGTGGGTGCAGCACCGGAATGGTTGCGACAGTACGATTACAGGCAGTGCCGGTATCTATGCCAAATACATGTAGACAGAATGTAAATGGTGTCGTTTCCAGTGTACAAGCAGTGATAAAACATTCGTGGGAATGCAAATGGGATTGGCAGAAGTATCAATCTGATGACAATTTCTGCTGCATACCTGCTTCCTCATTCCACACAGCTGCAACAAAACCTAACATGATAGGCATATAACACAAATAGAACTACGAGAACTGTGGGTTCTACTGATGCCAATCACTTGGCAATCTTCAAATCGAATTTTGTCATATCGGCTTTCTGTCTTTGCCCAACATTGAGGTTTGCCCGCGTTTGGCTACAGTCAGGCTCCTGCCTCCCAAGTGTTGAGCGTGGCCCAAAGCTTCACAAGAACAAGATGCCTGTCTGGGGAAGAGGTGGAGCAGGTGCCCCTGACGTTGGCCCGATAGAGGTCGACCCCTCCCTTACCTTCAACGATGTTGGTGGCATGGATGACTGCATCACACAACTCAAAGAAATCACCTTTCTGCCTCTCATATACCCTGAGCTGTTTCAACAGTTCAACATCACACCGCCCAGGGGCATTCTGTTTCATGGCGCACCCGGCACAGGCAAGACGCTGATGGCCAAGGTTCTTGCGGCAGAGGCCTCCCGTGGAGGCAGGAAGGTGGGCTGAGAAATGGGTGCACAAAATGGCTGTGATAAGGTGTCTGTCCAGTTTGGCAGTGCATAGACTTGAAGAACAGCTTCCTTGGCAACATCCTGGTTTCATATTGTACAAATGCCAGGAATGAGGTGCCGCAGTCTGCCGGTTTACCCTTGTCAGCACCTATTGGCCTCTTTGGCGGCAGTTGTGTACTAAAGTGTCTAACACAGTGCTCCGTGGCTCTCAACAAAGGATGAGCAATCTTTGTGTGAGAGGCTGCCTGCTTGTTTAAGGAGTACCTTTTCAACAGCAGTGCGGACTCCTTTGGCTGGCTTTGGTGGGCATCTTGGACAAGGTGGCATGTTTCCCCAGGTTGCAAAAACTTGGGTCAGCTGAGAGCATGCCTGTTCGTTTTCCTTTGCAGGTCACCTTTTTCATGCGGAAAGGAGCTGATGTGCTGACAAAGTGGGTTGGGGAGTCAGAACGGGCACTGAGGGCCCTTTTTGAAGAAGCTAAGAAATGCCAACCGTCCATTATTTTCTTCGATGAGATTGATGGCCTCGCACCTGTGAGTTCTGTGGCTGAGTACGTCAGCTATGTCCCAGTTTTTGCAGAACTGCAGAAAAACTCAAGCTGTGCAGTGAGACCTCTCTTGTGTGCGTGGCCTTGGTTGCTGGCATTGAGCATGTGCGCTATACATTGCTACCGCCTGGACCCAGTCCAGGGTGTGCCAGTCAAATGATGCTGGTTGCACACTTTCCTGTCCCCTGTCCATTTCTTCCAATATGCCACAAAATTTATTCAAATAACACACAAATTGCAAATCAACTTGCCACTAACAAGGTCATGTGGGGCAGTCAATGACCTGCAAGCTGTTGGGTGATATTCTGTTTTGAAATGTTGCCACCCATTGCCATGCCCAACAGGTTGCACCTTGAAAGCGTTTGCAGACTCTTTGAAAGTTCACAGTGGCCCCAAGGTGGGAGTAATTGTGTCGTGTGTCTGTAGGCTCGCAGTGGAAGGATGGACCATGTGCACAACTCACTGGTGGCGACTCTTCTTGCCCTCATGGATGGGCTGGAGTCCAGAGGAGAGGTCATCGTCATCGGTGCCACCAACAGGGTGGATGCCATCGACGACGCGCTGAAGAGACCTGGCCGATTTGACAGGCTGTACAGGTTCAGTCTGCCCGATGCTACCGCCAGGAGAAAAATCTTGAAGATCAATACACGACAGTGGGCCACTCCTCCGGACCCCGCTGTTGTGGGAGAGCTTGTCAGCTTGACAGCAGGCTACTGTGGAGCAGATTTGAAGGTGACAAGAGGGAATGTCCAATGCTGAAGACATCCGATCATTGTCCAGTCACCAATTTCGAAACGTTGCTGTGCTGGCTGCAACGGCAAGGCTGACAACCGATAAGCTACCTCCTTCCCATTGCACACAAAGGGAACCCTATCCTGCAGTCTTCATATCCTCTGCAAAATCTTGCTGATCGCATTTGTTGCCGCAAGACGTACACTTGCCTCTCAGGGCCTTCCTGGGAAGTCGACTGTTGCAATGGACTTAGAACGCTCTGGCAGGCGTGCTTGGTGCAGAATTGTTGACATCAATGGTTGGGGTGTTGTGTGGTGCATAAAGCCAAAAAGTATCAGGGAACCAGTGCTGATCGCACTTTCTTGTTGTCCCAAACTTATGCCAAAACGGGTGTTGGTCGGAGGCATGAAATGCTTGGAGAATCTATGCTAAAACTGACAGGCGTACTGCAGGTCAGATAGTGCGTGGCTGGGCATCTTCCGCCCTGGATACTTGCTCGTGTGGATATAATTGTCTGACACTACGCAAGCAAATGATCCACTTTGTGTCCACTGTTTTGGTCCAGTTACTAAAGGTTTGCATCGCTGGCAAGGTGGCCATGTTCTCTTCTCACTCCTTGACCCACTGGTACTTCCCCTGTCTTCATTGTGCTGTGTTTTGTACCTGTAGATGATGTATCGCCATGGTTGGGCAGGTGCATTGGGACGTGTCACATCTGTGAGTGGACAATGCAGTGAATGTTGACAACTTACTTGACATCTGGGATGGCACCTCCAGTATGTGTATTGAGTCTCAAGTCCATGTGTGTGTTGTTGGGCCAGGCTGTCTGCACTGAGGCCTTCTTCGTGGCAGTCCGCCGTACTTTCCCACAGGTGTATGAGAGCAGACAGAAACTCCTGCTTGCCTCCAGCAAGGTGCGGGTCACTCGTGCGGACTTCCTTGCAGCCCTCAGCGCAGTCACTCCATCGGCAACCACATCTGGAGCCAATTTTGCAAGGTGGGAACTGCCGGCTTCTGAACGCTGCTGGCAATTGACTCAAGGGTGTATCGTGCTTGTGACCGCTGCGGACTGTGTGTCAATTTGGAGATATCCAGCTCTCCAATACTGCACTGTCACTGGCGTGCAGCACAGCTGCAACCTTCAGGCTGCAAAACATTCTGGATTCTGCTGTGTTGGGAGTGCAGTCCATCCGTCCTATTCAGTTGGCACGTGTTGGTTCCTCTTTTAGGCTTGTACTGGATTCCGTGCTGGCATTTCTCAAGCTCAACTTGGAAGGTCAGGGCCATTGGAGTGTCCTGTAGCTTCCTCTGCCTGCTTATTTTGTTCCACACTGATGTCAATTCGGTTCTTCGACACGTTTGGAGTCCTGGTGCATGGCACATACCATTTCGTGGTTTTCTGTCACCAAAATATTGCATTTCATTCAGTACAGAGAGATGAGAAAGGAAAAGGACAGATAGTCTTTCTGTTACACAGAACTTTCTTTGATGTGTCTCCTACGATCTGTCTATCTGTCAGGCCCATGAACCCTCTCCTTGCACCGTGTCTATCAGAACACGTGTGTGACGTGCTGGACAAGATTCGTACAGTATTCCCTGTGGCAGAGCTGTGCATCATGGATGGCGGAACGCCTCCTGAGCCAGTTGGCAGGAGTGAAGCCGCAGGATTTGCATGCTTCAAAGCACCAGGCTCACTTCTCATTTGCGGGCAGAGGGGCTGCATGCAGCATGTTGTGGGCGCTGCGGTGCTCCACAAGCTGGAGCGCTTGCCTGTGATGAACCTGGGCATGACTGACCTGCTGACAGCCGGGGGAATGTAAGTGCACCAGGAGCGTCCACAGCTTCCTGAGAATGTTGTAGATAAATATCATGTGGCATGTGGCCCTCTGCATGCATCCTGTACTTGCTTCCCAATCACCAAAGACATAGTGAATTCTGCTGGCAGTTGTGCAAACCTGGAATAATATCATTTCAGTATTCACTGTGGTGCAAAGGCTGTACCTTCCTGATGGGTGAGGTCTTGTTGTAAATCATCGTTGTCGAATGAGGAAACTGCAGCTCCAATTGTCATCACAGTGTTCCCGCAATGGGAATCAACGTCTGGGGACTGCGAATTGTCAAAGACAGGCAGCAGTCAAAGACATGGACCCAGAGTGAGCTGTACAGCTGGGCACGTTTGAGGAAGATGGACTGAATGGCAAATTCAGGGCACAACAAAGGGTCCGTGGGTGTTTGACTGTAGGAGTGCGCATGGGGGTGCAATCAATGTGCGGCAAGTGTCAGAGTCGTCGGGATATGTACCAGTGTTCCCTTTCATGTGGTAAGGACACTGTCTGCTTCCCAACAGGTTTCTCGAGGAGGCGCTTCTCAACAAGATCAAGGAGGCTCGCCGGTGTGCCCCCTCCATCCTGTACCTCCCAGACTTCCACGTCTGGTGCAGGTCGGCCTCTCACAGTCTGAAGAGCGTGCTGGAAGTGACCTGTAAATACCACCTGTCTGCCCCTGTGCTGGTGTTAGCCGTTGCAGAGGGGCCTGCTGCGGATATGATGCCGCTGTTCAGGAATTTTGTGGGGGATGTCCCACAGTACGTAGGCTGCTGCCTTCCCCAAGTGCTTGAGGTGCACAGACCCAATGAAGGCCAACGGAAGCAGTTCTTCCAGGTGCGCCCCTGTGTTTACCATGACTAGTAATCTGTCTTTGCATTTGAAAGATACACAAAGCCTTTCCTGGCACCCTTTTTCCATTGCTGACATTCACCTTGACTGCCTTTTGGCTTTACTTGCCAAATGGACATTGCTGGCCCAGACTGGGGTGACAATACACCAGACTATGCACACAATGGAGATTTGCTGTCTTGTAACAGCAGCCAAGTGTTGTTGATTGAAACTGCATCCTTTCGTGTTGGCTGTTATGTAGTGATCAGAGTGAAGTCAGGCTGCACCTTGCATAACTGGCAATTCAATATGCTCAGCACCAACAATGATAGCCAAACACCTGCACAGGAATGCAGGGAAGTGCCAGCCTTTTTTTTGCCAGCCTTGGCATGTAGTGGCAGGTGTGCATATATGAGTGGATTCCGGGGAAAGGTTGCTGGATGCAGAGTATGGGATCGAAAGGCCACACAGAGGGAAATTTGTTAAAAGTAGAACATGTATCTACAAGTCTAGGTTTTGTGTGCCATGTGCTCTCCTGGGTTGTCGATTCTTCGGCCTTGTGCTCGTCCATCTTCAGACAATTCTGTGGAAATCGCACAAGTAGCGATTTCCATCATGTGTATGCCCAGCAGATTAGCCTGCTGTGGAGAACATCATTGCCAGCTGAATGCAAGGTGTTTTAACACATCAGCGCTGACTATTTTGACAGATCAGTTTGTCACAATAGTGCCAGTCACTGCTCAGGCTGGTATCACAAACCAATTGTGGCACCCATGCAGCACATGCAATGCCACAAATAAACTGCACAGCAAATGTCTCCCTGTACTTTCGCCCATCGGTTACTCACCCTGAGTCAGCACTGTGGAAATTGGGTATGTCACAGATACAGGGATAAGCTGTTCAGGAACGCCACTGAAGCATGTGTCGTAGATATGTTGATGCAAAATATGCATTAGTATTGGCAAATTTCTTCTGCAATTTTGGAACATCATCAGCACGGTGTGCTGTCGCTGGGAGAGTATCTCACAGTGCACGACTGTGGCCTCTTGGGCCTGCTTTCAACCTTCTCTGTCCAGAGATTGAGCCTCCGCTTGTGGTGGTACTGCCAGTGCCATCCGTTCAAGGAAGTGGCTTGCGCCTGTCTGTCAAAGAGCACAGCACGTTGTCTGAGCAATAGGTGGTGCCTTTAAGCCTTATCAGCATCATTGTATTCGCCACAATTGCATGCTCAAACCTGTAAACAATTACTGCAATGATGCCAGATTAGCACTGCATCGGCTAATGCCCCCTTTGGGGGGTTAGGACCTGAGGCACGGGCAAAGGGCCTTCACAGAAAACTCAAGCACTGATAAAATGCTCTTTCTGTACACCTGGAAGCGCCCATGGGGCGACCATTGAGAGTGTCCTTGGTTGGTTTCTTCCCTCAGTCTCCTGTCGTCGATGTCCTTCGGTGTCTGTTTCTTCCAAACTGTGTCAATGCAGGCATTCCTACCTGGTCCACAGACACTGAAGTTTGGCTGCCTTTGGTGCTGCAGGGCATAGTGCAGGAGGCAGCAAAGCCCCCTGAGCCCCAGCCTGCCACGCTGCGTGGACCCCCTCCCAACCTCCCAGTGGACAGGTCTGCGCTGCAACGCGATGCAGAGGCGATGCTGAGAGAGGAAGAGAAAGCCATTCGTGAAATGCGAATGGCACTAAGGGAGGTCACCAACACCCTCATGGCGGATGCAAGGTAGCCAAATGCCTCTGATCGAATCTGGCTTTGTTGGGCAAGACAAGCCCATGCATTTTCAAGGCGATGACCTGACTTACATATCCCCATTCTGCCTTGTTGACCGTTTGTACCATGTACAGCCGAAGCCAAGTTGCTGATCTTTGCTGGGGATAGTACAAGGTTATCGTGGTTGTCTCTATAGACTTTGTCGTTTGCTTTTACAGCATTGGAGAATAGTTGCAGGCCCATTGCCTGGGCGTAATTTCCAATGTCTGCAGTCTATGTTGGACTGACTCGTGAGAATCGTGGACTGCTGGGCACCTGTTCAATGGAGTCTGATTGCCACAATGAAATATCTGATTTGAGATCAAAGAGTTGTTTTTCGCTGCATTTTGGGACCAACAACACCAAAGCATGGCAATGCAAACATCACTCCCAGATGTGGTTGCAGTGGTTGTATTATTGTTATTATTTCCTTCATTACATGGCGCTCACTAAGCCCGACTCCGCTCCCAGCAGCATAAACATGATGTCAACAGCCTGTGCCACCTTCCGGCGATGTAGGTCAGCAGCAAGAATTGAGAAGGGATGTCCATCTAGAGCAAGGTTCTTGTACAGGTGGTTGTACAGGCATCATGGCGGACAGACCTGAAGTGTTTGTGTTTGGTTCGCCAGTTTTCACATTTTCATCGAGACAGACGATCAGCTTGAAGACATGGAGGCCTGGGAGAACTCAGAGGCACCACCGGGCTTCTACAAACTTCTTGAGAATGTAAATGACAACAAGTACAGAAACCCACAGACATATCTTAAGGATGTGGATGGACTTGTCCGTCTGGCTCTGCAGCGTATCAAGGAAAGGGATGGTACGGATCTCACAAACTTGCATTCGTCTTCTTTTCACGCCACAGTGTTGTACAAGTATCTCCTATCTTGTGTTCGCATTTTATTTCAGCTAGATGCTGTTGAGGATTGCCTATAGAGTGTCCCTGACACTGCTGATGGTCAGTTTGTCAGCAACCATGCGTGTCAAGCACATGCAGGCCATCTTGAGAGCAAACACATGCATAGGTTGTGGTTGTGATTGAACTGCACTGATTGGTAATGCTCATATTGTAACAGGTCGTGCTGAGCTGGTAAAGAGCAAAGATCTTGGCCAACGGGTCAAAGACACTGCCAGATTGTTGGTGGAGTCCAAGATTAGCCCTTCCCTAATCACAAAATGCAACTCGCTGGTTGCCAAACTCGATGCACCTGAGGAGGAGGTTCAGGGCAGCCCAAATGACAAGAGATGCAATGGCCCTGCAGGTAGCAATTGGTTGGTGGTTTGCGTGTCAAAAGATCGCATTTTGAAGGATAAAGATGTTGCCCACTTTCCTGAGCGTTGCTCATCTGCCAGCTTCTGTCAGATTCGTACCCGTGCAGAAGTCGGATTGATGCTTGATGGTACGCAGAGGGACACTGTTTCAGTGGGCTCCTACGTTGCTGTCCCCCACGTTCATCGTGCACATGGGGGATTTGTGCACCGTCTTGGTCTCACCTCTGCTTGAACACAGTCGTACAGCAAAGCGCTACCCTTGCACTTCCGCGTTTTTTCTGAGAGGTGTTGTTTCTTGTGGGCGGCGGTTTGAAGACAAATGCTCATTGGAGATAGAAGCTCTTGGAATCTTCACTGATTGATTGCACCTGTTGGGCGACGTCGGAACAGTCGTTTCATTTATGAAGTTGTTACATTCTTGCCCCCTGCTGTTTGCTGCATCGTTGCTGTCTGCTTGTGGGATCAGCAACCACTGGGGAAGATGCCTCCTGCTCGGAATCCCCTCTGCAAGAAGATGAGGGAGCTCATGAGCGTCGTGTAAGCACCAGACGGACTGGTAGAACCTTGAGCAGAAGTGTTGTCTATGATGATCCTGAGGTGGCAATGAGGAAACTGAGGTGAGCTGTCAGAATATGTTTACATCCGTCTGCATGTGGCCCAGAATTTCGCATTATTTTGTGCACACATGGAGGGGATATATTCTTGTCAGCTGAATATTCGATTCTGCAAAACTGCCAGTAGAATGGTCTTTGTGCGCAACCGAGATTTTCCATGTTTATGTTTTGGATGGGGCATACATAGCCATCAACAACAGTTCAACAAAAGGATGGTCCAATCGAGCTGAAAAACGCCACAGGAGGGTAGGCCATTTTATGCCCTTGGTGTAAATCTAGTCTGCTGATAATTTGTGCACCGTTTTTAAGGGCATTCTGGGCATGTTTTATCAGTGAGTATAAACACAGCTAGGTGCTCCAATGACTCCTACACTTACTAGTTTGCAGGAGATTCTGGTACTTCTTGAGCATCGGCTCAACAGGGACGTTCAAGAAGGGGCCAAGACTGTAGTGAGGCTGCAAAGCATTGCTGAAGGTATTGTTTTCTGCAGGAGTTTGGCAAGGGAGAAGGGTCAAGGAGATCTGCTCAGGTCGTCTGCAGGCTGTGGTGCAATGGCTGAAGATGAGAGGGAGCAGACGCCACCAGAGCCTAGGTCGCACAATGGTTGCCTCGATCGTGAGGACGGCTCATCAGGTGCGTGTCCAGGTGTGTGGAAGGAAAGGGAGTACACTGTGACCCAAGTGGAGTGCTGAACCTGGCCTTTTATCTTCTGTCTGGATGCAGCACTTTGAGGCCCGAAGGCCCTTGTTGTTGCCTCTACAGACTGTGAGTCCGACATAGGAGTCAACGTGTGTGCCCTACGTCGCATTGTGGGTGGCAGGGACTGTTCTTCTGGTGCAAGGCATGCTGTTGCTAATAGAAGGGAGTATCAGCGCTTGAAAGAGTCGTGTCTTTATCCAGTGCTTACGTGCCTCCCAGGATGCCCACAACGCCGAAACTCGTCTCCTCGATGGGACCAATATTGTCAACCTCAGGACAAAGTTATGCATGTTGCCTTCACCTGCGTAGGACTACTGCAATCAAAACTGAAATCCAAAGATCAGCACGACTATTATTCGTTCCGTTGTACAATATCATTCTGAGAGGAATTGCGACTTTTCCCGCCCTCCTGTACGCGATCAGGTGGCCACTTGATATGAAATGAATTGTTCCGTCCGCCCACTCATTGCTGCTCTCGAATTTCAGGCCCATCGCAAGACACCTGCTCCGCTCCGCCCCCTGCTCCCGAGCGTCAAGCCAAACAAGAAGACTTGGCCACCGCAGAGGTGGTCTCGCAGCGGCTTGCAAAAGCCACAGAGGACTTCTCACTGGACCAGCTGTTGCTACTGCATTCCAAAATAGCAAGGAAGGTGGCGTCATCCCAGGGTGCAGTTGACCGCGGCGCTGTGCTCAACAGCATCGCGGAGCAGTGCTTGCAGGTCCGTCGCATGGGCAGCAACTGGACATCCTTGGACGACCATTAAAACCAGTTTCGAAACCTTGGAATCGAGCTTGGTTTTAGATTGGGATGCGTCGGTCACGTGGGAAGAACGGGTGAGGGAGCAGCCAAGCTGAAGGCTTGTACTACCTTCGAGAACTCTCCTCAATCTGTTGTAACAATTCGCTCATCAAGATGTGCTATTGGCCTTCCACTTTGCAGCTTTGCGTTCCATGGAGTTGCAATTAGAGTCGCGTCTGTTGGGGTATTTATCAGCACCCTTTGACGTGTTTGAGGTGCAACGTGTGTCATTGAAGAACAACGAATTGCACCTCTCTATCCCTGAATTGCATCTCTAACCCGACCAGCACAGTTGATCTCTCCACCCAACTGCGATCCTGCAATGAAGGGGGGATTTTGCAGGTCAGCGTCACAATTCTGTTGTCCTTGCGTCAAATCGCTTCTATCACCAATATCGGGTAACTAGCATACCGGTCACATTGATGCAGAGTCTGTGCATTCCATGGGGTCACAGACGATGGCAACTCACCAGGCGCCACGAAATATTCGCTGGGTGAATATTTGGTGATCACCGAATTCTGCGGTTACGGACGATGATCAAGGTGGAAGCGAATATTTTCTTGCACCAAGCACACACAAATCTCCAATGGACAGAGGGTGAAAATTAAAATGTTACAACAAGCGGAAACACAATTCTTCTCATCCAAAGACCTGACCCAGAGTGCTAAAAATCTAAACTTAGAAGTGGCTCATTCCAGGAAATTGACATTGCAAGCGCCCTTTCGACCATTCGAGCTGCGCCGCTTCATATACCCATCTGGCCCCAGGCACTGCCCAATATGCCTCTGCAGTTGTGGCAGGTGCATGGCGGCTCAACAGCAATCAGACACTTTCACAGCTGCATGCCCACAATCCTGCTCACCACCGGCTGAGCGTCTACCCTTCTGCCAGTGAAGCAAGGCGACGTCCCCTATCTTTCCAATGAGCGCTGCACCGGCTCCAATGCCAAAACCAATCGCCGTGTTCTTTGTTGCGAAAATGGACGCGGCCGTTATCAGCATTAGGGCCACCCCTTTGGCGTCTTTCTCAGATCGGCAACACGCAGCGAGTTCTACACCCGAGAACACGAGCATGGAGCCCAGGAGGGGCTCAGGAAACCTCTGCAGCAGAGTGAACAGTGAGCTGCCAAACAGCAGACCGAGGGCGATCTTGACGATCCCCAAGAACACGGGTGCTGCCCCGCTTCGGGCCCCAAACCGAGTCTGTGCCGCCAAGCCCCCCGCCCCGTGACAGGACGGCATCGCACCAAACCATGCCCCTATGATGTTCATCAAGCCCACACTGAAGGCAACACTGTCAGGGTTCGCTGGTCTGTCAGGAAACAGGTCTGAGGAGAGCTTGCAAACAGCCACGACAGAATTGAGGGTCGTCAAGGGAAGCTGGGGCAGGCCGCCCCGCAGCAGGCCCGTCTTGACCTCACTCCATGTGGGGACGATGATGTCCACGCTGCTTGGGCCCAAGCTCAGCGACTTCAAGGTTGATGGGTGAAATGACATCGTCAGCACGAGACCCAGGACCACCAGCAAGAGTGCAGCAGGCACCTTACGAGCGGCACCTGTGGAGCCACAGCATGGAGAAGGACTGTTGCTGCTGCCTTGGCTGCCGTCGCTGCTGCTGGTCTGACAAACGAGCGCCCTTGATGATTCTCGAGATGTGGCCAGTGCAAGGGCTGACGCCCCCCCCATAGACTCCATGTCGTGCTGTGTGTCCCCATCTGTGGAAGAATCGCTGCCTGCTGGTCCGCCCTTTTGAGATTCCTGCAACTTCCTTTCACTATTAGCAGCTTTGTTTTCATGCGTATCTGTGCCCTTCAACACAACTGCCGCTGAAGGCATGGTCGTAGTCGCAACAAAAACGAAGCCAAATATGCCCAGAACCAGACCCTCGATTCCCCACCAGTCCCTCCATACCCTGCCACTGGCTGCCTTGTACAACACCATACCAAACCCTTTGATAGCCAGCTTCAGTCCGACGCCGAGTTGGACCCCCCGGACAAGCGGCATTGGCACCAGCCTGCTCACACAAAGCAGAAGGCAAAGGCTCACACAGTGAAAACCAAAGTAACACCATTGTGATGAAACAAATCTTTAACCCAAACTTAAAATGACCTGCTTCCAGAGCTAGGGCTGCCTGCCCAGATTAGAAAACATCGCCTGCAAGAATTTGGGCTTGGGCTGTTTGTTTCAGCACATGAACCTGTTTCCTGTGGCAGCTAGTGTTGTTGCAGAAATGCATAATGGTTGGTGCTGCTGCAACACAATTGTAGCAACACGCTCGCAATACACCGATGCAGCTGGTCAGTGATCAGTTCAGTTGACAACCAACAAATACCGGTTCTGGATGTGTTCGCCATCGTGTTCGTGCGAGGTGCAAGCACCAGGTGAAATGTCGTACTGAAATTCCAAGTCAACAGGTGATGTTTTGCATCCAAAATCCAAACTGTGGCGATGAAATTGGCCAAGCAGCACATTTTGCTTTTAATACTGCACTGTTTGCAGACGTGACTGTCGGAATGATGGCGAGGTGCGCCTTCTGTGAGAACATCACAATGGCATTTGGAGGGTTTGCCAAAGCAATGAGATAGATTGCTTCTGAGTTTTGGGTGCTGCATTTCTCAAGTCACCTGACAAAACAGGATCTCACACCTGGAGAGGTGGTGACAGGAAACAGATTGAAACGATAGCGATGTACATATTGGACTGGACTGTCCTATGCATGCTGCTTTGAACATCATGCGAAGCGTGTGTTTTCCCAATTGTGATGCAGGCTTGGGATGACAACGTTGTCGCGGAGCGGCTGTGGATGCATTCATGAACTCGTGCGCACCTGTTGAAGTGGCTCATGAGGCCCGTGAGCCCCAGAAACAGCACCATGGCGCTGACGCCCAGCCCCGCCACCATGACCTCGGGCACGCTGAGCGGCTCGTCCGACAGCGCCACCGCCGATATGGTCTTCATCGGCTGAACGGGCATCGGGATGCCGAAGTGTAGGCCGGTGACGACGTTGTAGGCGCCCGTGGCCACGAGCGTGGTGCCCAGGTCCAGGCCCACCTGCCGCACCAGGCCCAGCACCAGCGGAAGGAAGGTGCCCAGGTCGCCCATCGCGCCACTGATTTCCGACAGCGTCAGGTCGCGGCGAAAGGCGGACAGCCAGGCCGCCGGCCGCTGGAATGGGTTCATGGTCGATGCTGCCGGGATGGGCAGGCAGGGGAGGAGCAAATTGGGGAATCGATGCCTATCCAGCTATCCAGCGGATGCTCGTGGCCAACGGCCTGTGGCGCGGGCCTGGATCACAGCGAAACAGCGAAGAGAATCAGTTGGAGCAGCCATGTGGATCTGCAGGTCGTCTGCAAAGAAGATGCGATCAGTTCTTGCAGATGGCTCCACACTGGCCAGCGGATGGACAACAGCGTAAGGCACAGGCTGATGGCAATCTGCCGTGCGCAGGGGCTTGGGCGCACCTCGGTGGGTAGCACAGCGCCGGGACGTCACCGCTGCGGCCCCCGTTGCCTTCGCGTTTGTCTGTGGCGGGTTGCGCTTTGTGGGTGTCTCCATCGTGGGCCAGGCGCCCCTGCACCAAGGGGCCAGTGGCCCGCCGGAGTGCGACGGACGACGGACGACGTCATGCCAATGCCTATGCCAATATGCCAAGTGGTAGGGTCCAGGGCAAGGACGCTTGGGGCCCCTTTGTTGCCAACACGCTGGGCACCGTATGCCGTAAGCTCTCACCATTGCTAACAAACCGCATGCAGTTCGGCTGCAGCGTGGAAAAACAGTTTGCCTTGCAAACGAGCGGTCGGGACAAGCAGCTCCCGTTTCGTGTAACACTACCCCTCCGATCCACACCCAGTTCTTCCCGCCACTGAGACGTTCGAAGGGTAGCGTCAAACTAGCCGGCCTCGACGTGAGGGGACCCCAACCCTCTGGCTGCGCGCCCAAAGGTGCCCCCGCCCCAGACCGCGCGCGCCTACAGCCCACCCCCTGGCCTCGCGCGGCTGTCAGCAAACTGATCGACGGATTCCCAGCGACCCCGGGCCCGCCCGAGCAGTACCCGGTCGTCCGCATCGGTCGCCATCTTGGCCGATTTGATTGCCACCCGCTCCGGTCGCCCAGCCGGCAGCCGACGGATTTGGAGCTAGGGGTGCGGTGCGATGGGACTGTGGTCCAAGTTCAGGAGCAAGGCGTTCTTGGTGAAGCCGCTGGATGCGCACCTGGGCAAGGAGGCCGAAGACAAGGGCCTGAAGAAGGTCCTCACGGCGTTCGACCTCGTCATGTTCGGCGTCGGCGGGATCTTGGGCGCGGGTGTCTTCGTGCTCACCGGCGAGGCGGCTAATAAATACGCGGGGTGAGCGGATGTCCGCGGCGGGCGCGGCACCCCCCCTCTTGGGGCCGGGGCTTGATGGTTCGCATTTCCGCGAGCGGGGTGGAGTTCGGGAGCGGCTGGCCGCGCAGACCGCGGCCTTGATTGGAGCCCGGCGGTCTTCGCGCCTCAATCAAACTGTGTTTAGGGCGCTGCGCGTCGACCGGCGGGGGCGTCGACCTGTGATTGAAGGCCTCCGGCGCGCGCCGGCGAGGGACAGTTGCGAATCAGGGTTCATCACCGTGCACCGGCCCCCGCCCGCCGTTGCGCCGCTCTCCGGCGCTCGCATCAGCGGAGCATGTGCAGAGAGGGGCGCCCCTCGGCGGCAGGGTCTCCAGCGGCTCACACATTCTGGCGTCGAGCGGTTCCCCACCACGAGGGCCAGAATGCTGTGGACCCTGTGGCGAGCGGCCGACGCAGCGCGGCGTTGATGCGACCTGGTTTGAGTCGCGCAGCATTGCGTAATGCTGCTCTCGAGCGTGGAGATTGGGTGCATGTCGTCTCATCCGGTCGTGCCGTGCTGCGCAGGCCATCAGTTGTACTGTCGTATGCGGTGGCCTCTTTGGCTGCCGTGTTCTCGGCGCTGTGTTACGCCGAGTTTGCTGTCGACCTCCCCGTGGCGGGCAGCGCCTACAACTACATATCCCTGGTATTTGGCGAGTTCCCTGCTTGGTGAGTGCGCGGGTATAATCAACGAGCTGCATTTTCATAGCAAAGGAAATGAAAGGCCGCGCTGCGACAGCAAAACAGGAATCATGACTTGCAATGGACACCATCCTGCTGAGCAAAATCTTGTGAGACTGTTTAATGGGTGCCAGAGCTGATGCAGTTGCTCCCAAGCGGAGCAGGATGGGGACGCAACACAGATAGCACCTCGTGGGGTTGGGAGTTCACAGAAAGTAGAGTCACAGGAGGGGACATGAAGTGTTGCATGAATGTGTGAGCCAGCTCATGCTTACCTCGTCAACGTGTCCATGCATGTGGAAGATGCTAATCTGCAGGAAACAATGCGCATCTTGATCGACTTTTACATACATCACAAGGCACAGTGTGCAACTGTTCTGTCAAGTATACTTGTTCAGTTGGCCGTGCCACATGACAATAATACGAAAGATTCCATGCGCAGCAACATCCCTGATTTGTCTGCCTTTTCTGTTGCAACAATTTTGTACTTGCTGTACTGTCTTAGTTGAAGCCAAAATTGAGCATGGCCACCTTGTTCTTTGGATTGCAAATTGGGACCCATTTTTGCATAACGGAGACTGCGTCTATGCGGATTAGATCTGTAGTTTTCCTGCACTTGTCAGCTGTGGCTCTGTGAACAAGATGGGCTCTGTTGTCAGAACAAGCTCGAGGGCACATAGACTCTAATGAATGTAGTTGCATAACAAAGGGGAAAAAACTACTTTGCATTAGACCACCCCAACAGGATATCGTAACATGACAGAATCAAGTGCTATCCATTGCTTGTGGATATCCACCCATCACACTGCCCGTCCTAGTCTTGATGGCCATGCATTGGATCTGGGTGTGGACAGTGTGACATGACCACCCCAACAGGATGTCGTAACATGACAGTATCAAGTTCTATCCATTGCTTCTGGATATCCGCCTATCACGCTGCTCGTCCTATTCTTGATGGCCATGCATTTGATCTGGGTTTGGACAGTGTGACAAGAATTGAATGGGCAAAAAATGCAACTTTTGGCTTGACACATGGCAAAGACTGGATGCAAGTGGACAAATCGTGTTCAAGGAGGATCTCTGATTGACAAACAAAGATCCATCGGTCAGCTGTGAACAGAAGTTCCCTAAGCAGATTGCATTGATCACATGTTTTGTCAATGGGATGTTTACTTGCATGCAGTGCGACCTATGACACTTGTCCCTGTTGCAGCATCGAATTCACGATTCAGGTGCTGCCCTTGGTACAGGATCGCTGCCATCAACCTGATAATGGAGTACTGCCTGAGCTCGTCGACAGTTGCAAAAGGGTTCACAAGCTACTTCGCATCAATGATAGGGCTATCCAGCGGCGCCCTCACATTCAACTTTGGGGGTGGAGATCTCTTCAACTTGGACGTCCTGGCATTCTTGTTGACGATAGCCCTCAGCATTTTGCTGTCGCTGGGCATCAAGGAGTCGTCCTTGTTCAACAATATCGTCTCAGGCATCAACCTACTTGTGATACTGTTCGTCCTGTTTGCGTCGATGCCATTCTTCGACGCACACAATCTTGTCCCATTTGTGCCGCCTGAGTTTGGGATCAAGGGATTGGTCAGGTGAGTGTGCAGCTGTTGCATCTCTGATGGGTGTTTCTAAACATGCTCCTTGAGATCAATCCAGCTTGCCCAAGTATGCATCAAAGTGTATTCTTCACAAAGGTGTGCCTAGTGGGGAAGAATGTGCCGGGAATGTTCCCACGCTGCTGGACGCAGGGATCGAGGGGCTCCAATGGGCTATGAAAGCCCTCTTCAGTGGCTTTGCATTTTGTGTCAGTCTGTTGTGTGTGCTGCTGACCAGTTGATCCACTGTCTCCCAGGGCAGCTTCAATTGTTTTCTTTAGTTACATCGGATTTGATGGGGTTGCAACTGTGGCTGAGGAAGTGAAGAACCCCACCAGGGACCTGCCAATTGGGATTGTCGGTTCTCTTTTCATCGTGACAGCGCTCTACGTGTCCATGGCCTTGGCCATAACGGGAATGCAGAGGTAAGAGCGTGTATGCATTTTCATTTGTGTCCCCAACTTGGTGGCAGTGCCTGCTGATTGCATCATGTGCTGTGGGATGCTGCTGGGATGAACGGCCAGCTAGCCTGTGCCTGAACCTTTCCGGATGAAAAAGAAAGCAGCTCTTTTCTTTGTGCACTGTGCTTGGCAGATGTGCTATTGTTTCCAGGGCGCACTGAGCTTCAAATTGCAGGTGATATCCACCTGGCGGCAAATGCTGTCAATGCAGAAATGTGTTGCTCTGGCGCTGGCCACAGGAAGGCACCTAGATTTGGATCTTTGGCTCCTCATGGGCTGTAGGATTGCAGCTGCAAACCACAAAAGACGTGCTGTTGCCCTACTATAGCCTGTACACAGATTAGTGAAAGACACCCACTATGCAGATGCGACACCGGCAAGTTCATCCTACTTGTAGTGTCTATGTTTTGTGGCTGCCCATGGTGGCCGTTCTGTGCTTGCTTGTCTGACGTTTCTTTGGCCTTTTGGTGGCAACTTACACGCATGCGGTTGATTCCCGTGCAGCTATAAGATCATCGACATAGATGCCCCGTACGCTGTTGCATTCAACAGCTTTGGCCTCAAATGGGCTGGCGAGGTTGTGTCCATTGGCGCTGTGACCGGCATCGTGACGTGTCTGATGGTGACGCTCATGGGCATGGCTAGAATATTCATGGTGCTGGGGCGAGAGAGACTCCTTCCTCAATGGATGGTATGTGTCGTGGTCCGCTGCACAACCTCTACATCCTGGTCTGTCAAATATATTTTTAATTAATTATTTAATTGGTTAATTAATTAATTTATTTATTTATTAGTTAATTAATTAATTTATTTATTCATTTTTGTGGCAGAACTCCAGGAGAGCTGTGGTTGGATGTGCCAGTGGAAGTTGCCAGATTTGGGCCTCGTTGCCTTGGGTAGTAGCAGCAGCAGACTAAATGTTGTGTAACCAATGTAAGTCAAGGAACATAAATCCGCGTGGCCAAACATGCAAGCTCGAATCCAGCGGCGCGCAAGTCCACTACATTTCTGGCCAGTGTCCCTGCACTGTGGACTTGGGATGCAGTGTGCATAGCACTGTCAAAACGGAAGAGGAAATGGACGAAAGAAAGCAAGGAAACAGGTGGGGCTGGGCCTCTGATTCTTTGTGCATTTGCTGTCCTTCCAGGCAAGGGTCCACAGCAAGTATGGGACGCCCCTGAATGCAACCATCGTCACCGGCATCGTGTCAGGCCTGCCGGCACTCTTCCTGAATATTGACTTCCTTGCAAGGATGGTTTCTATGGGGACACTGTTCGTTCTGTGCATGGTGAATGTTGGGGTAGTTTGGCGGCGCTACTTTCAGCCCACCACCACTGCATCGTACAAACCTGTTGTCTGTAGGCTGGCGGTGCTGATCGCCGCCTCCATTGTTGAGGGTTTGGCACTGGAGCTGGGGCTGTCCACGTGGACATGGGGAGCGTCCGTTGGTAAGTTGAAGCCCGTGAACACATTTCTGCAGGCGGGCTGAGGATGTCGTACCCGCCTGCTGTTGGGGTGAATTGGTGCCCTGGGTATTCAGGTGTCCTCTCGCATCTAGCTCTGCCTGCCTGGCAGCTGAGAAGTTTCTGGCGCGACACTGCAAGGGCCGAAGAAGGGTGCATCGGCTGCAGTGATCGGCTTGAGAACAATCCCTAGCAGTGCGATCAAAGTGGCCAAGGCGGCTAAATATAGCACTGGGTGAAGTCGCCATACTACTGCAGCAGAGCCCGTTTGTCTGCAATGGTGAAATGGCCGGCTTGCAATGTGAGTCGACCTTGTGTTGCGTTCCAGGAGTGTGGCTCCTGTCGGCTGTTTCATTCTGGGCGCTGCCAGTTGCGTACAGCTCCACGAAGTTCACCCTTCCCGTGCAGCCCATCATCCCAGCGCTCGGCATCTTGTTCACCGTCCACCTCATGTGCTCACTTGGCTGGGAGGCCTATGTCCGGTTCCTTGTGTGGCAGGTGGTGGGAATATCAGCGTACTTTGGCTACTGCATGCACCACACGCCAGATGCGCAATACTCGGAGGCCAAGGAGCCACTTCTGTTTGGCGAGGGGCCCTCTGAGTCATCTGAAGGCACGGCGGAGTTCCAGGAGGACGACGAAGCCCCGCTGTAGCGTGCTGTGAGAGGCTGCTGAGGAGTGCCATTCTGCCCTGATGCTGGTCGTAGGAGAGATTGTACTATGTGCTAGATTGAGCGGAGTAGGGGCGACATGAGCCTGACGCCCGAGAGTGATGTAGGCAGCGTTTTATTTGAAACTGAGGATTGTGACGGGGTTAAGGTTGGGCTCAATTGAGGGCGCAATAACGACCGGTGGGATTTGTTGGCGTTTGAGCATTTCAAGGAATGCCCAGCTGGGTTCCTGGCGACAGTCCATGTCCCATCTGCAGGCCTTTCTTCTGTATTCTAATAATGTAATGACACCCGCGAGAGAGGGGTCCAAGAGTGCGTGTGGCTGCACTTACGACTCGCGAACATGCGAAACTCTTGTCGAAACTCAGTCCGGCACCGGTGCCCTGCAGGGCACGTGTGACGAAGCCTACGGCCATACGGTTCGCAATCCGTGGATTCCCTCAGGCGATCGGGGTGGTGCATTTTGTACGCCCAAGGCTACATGTGCTGTGGGCCATGCTTGCACAGCTCCCACACCGCTGGAGCCCAGGGCAGTGTGCCATGCACCTCCATTCTTTGTGCTGGCTGACGCGCTTCGGTTGAATGCGTGCATCAGCCCTGTCCTCCAACAGCCAACAGTGCAGCCAAATATGGCATCAGAGAACCCTTCTCTCCCCATTGCAAAAGAATACCCAAGCCAGTTGTATTTTGGGCATAGTATACCATCTACAGTGCATCTGTGCATCAGCGCCACCATGGTGCCAAGGCAGGGCCTGCTTGCATAGACGGCACGCAGGTCAACGCATGACAGACAGCTACTAATGCCGCCAAAGCTTCAGCACCTTGTCTTTTCCCCCGGAAGCGACAGAGCCTCCGTCTGGGCTCCAGTCCACCGAAAACACTTCGTCGGAGTGACCTGGGAGTTCCACCTTCAGCTTTCTCGACTTCATGTCCCACACCTGCCAACAGGAACCAAGGTCAGTGCCCGCGCTGGGGCATTCGTCTGGAAATTCTCTTGGTCTGATTGCAACAGGCCACTGGTCCAACTCGGCGGCAATGCCTGTGCATCAATGTAGATTAGCACTGGCAGCAGTGCCCAACGACGCCTAAACGTAGATGTGTGGGCATATCTGCGCTGGTGGTCAGCACGACAACAACTAGCCGATTCCCAAGGCACATAGTAAATGCACCAATGCACCAAGATATGGTAAATTTTGTGCTGTTGTTGGGCTCCTCTCTGGCTGTGCGTTGTGTTCCTTATCGCCTGACACAGGGAAGGTTGCTTCGACGACGTGGCCCAGCCATTTGAAATTCCACTGACCCACTCACAGCACATTGTCCACTGCATGGAAGTTTGGAAATCCGAAACTGGAATTCCAAAGAAGGATTCCAAATTGGAATTACCCACGCGCCCAAATGCAGCAGCAAACGCCCAAAGCCCAAAACATATGCTACAGCAAATGTGTGATAATGACTGAACATCGAAAGGCAAAAACAAAATAAGAAAGAAGGCAAAACGAGATCCATCATGTTGCATTGGATTCACTGAAGCGTAGAGGAAACAAGCACACCATCAAGCTAGAAGTCCCCCTCCAAAGGAGCCCAATAGGATCATTAGACTCCCTTCTTTCGATCACAAATGATGTAGGGCTCTCCAAATGCAAGGAAAAAGCACACAACACAAGAGGTTTGTCCAATACATATCATTTGCGGACACGAAGGCAACGAACGAGCCATGAAGGTCATGAAGGGTACGAGGGCCCCGCAAACCTAAAACTTGAACATCCTAAACGCGACACACGCCCTTCAGGACGTTCATGACCTTCATATCCGGGAATGAAGGGCATCGAGCATTTGCGCAACACAAAGCAATATGAACGGCAAAAAGTTGCAGTCTGGAGACCATACAGGCAGATGTGTTGAATGTGTTCATGAATGGTAGGACTGCAAACGTCGCACAAACAGCTCCTCTGTCTAGAAAGCGGGACAAACCTTGAGGGTGCTGTCCTTGCTGCCACTCACAAATAGCCGACTGTCCGAGGACCAGCTAACTTGAAACACAGGGCCCACATGGCCATAGAAGCTGGCGACGAAGTTCCCATTCATCCCATCCCACAGCTTCACAGACTTGTCGAACGAAGCACTGATGATCCATCTGCCGTCTGGAGAGAAACGCACCTGGAGTTGTGAACAATAGGTTCCCATGCGTCACAGCTGCTTGGTTGCAACAAGATCAAGGTTTGGAGCCGTCCAAGAGCGCTGAAACATGTTGATGAAGACAAACCAACACGCGATTTCAAAACAACCCCAGGGCGGAGGTAAAACAATTGTCGGAAAGGTTCAAATGGTAGTTCACCTCGCACAAGAACTCAGCACAAGGGGCAAGCGTCTTGTGCTTAGGCAAGCCTTGCATAAGCAGCTACTCTTGGGGTTGTTGCGGGCAGACTGGTACACAGATACGTCTGCAGCTGAGTCAAAACAGCAAAACACCAGAGCGCTTCGACCGTGGCATTCGAATTGGTGGGTTGCAGAGTTGGGGGGGTGGTTGAAACCCAGGCATGGGATCTGAATGGGTTTGCTGACCTGGTTAATGAGCTGGTGATGTCCTGTCAATCTGGCGATCGGCTTGTTGCTTGAGGAAGGTTGCCACAGCATCATGGTGTGGTCGTCTGAGCCAGATACCAGGCGTTCAGGCCGGCTGGAGGTCGCCTCCTTGTAGCGCTCTTCTGCAGCCTGCACAACCACCCACAGGCAGGCATTCACTTTGGCATGAGGTCCGCAAGTGTTACTTCGTGCCCTTACTCGGAACACGATGGGCCACACGAGTTGTGGCAGGTGCCTCTGCTTAGCCCACATAATCAGACAAGGCCTTCAACTAACCAGTGGCATAGAAAGACCTCACAATGGTGGTCAAGAAAGTCCCCAGCCCCCGCATCAGAAAATGTGGCCCTTGAAATGTAGGGGAACTAATCGAGTTCATTGAGCCAGGAACGAAAGCCTGTGTTGAACAGCCGCAAAGACTTGCAAGTGATGGTGATGTGTCCATAAGGCAGCCAGGGATTGTGAACTTTGATGTATTCATGTTGTTAAGTCCTCACTGGGAGCCTTGATGTTCCTAATGTCGACATCACCTCAACACAGTGCAATGAACACCAAAGCAATTTATGCACGTGCAGTCTCCTGCTAGCCAGGTGTCTTGGTTGTTGTTCTTATCCTTGGTCGGATGGCATTTTGTAGGACCAAGCGGGACTGATGGAATGTTAAGAAACCAGATGTGCACTCTGTTGCTCTGCTTGAGACACTGCTAAGCCAAAGATGTACTATGACTTTACTCTACGTTCCTCGCCAAGCAGCATATTATTGCTTCAGAATGCAGCCCAGGCTGTGAATCTAGTGGTACAGTACCTGGTGTGAGCAGCAAACAAAAAGGGTACGGACGTTAGCCAGCTAGAAGCCAGCCAGACCACCCCATGAATTGCACCACACCTTTCTGGCGCCCTCAGCATCTTCCGGAGCACTCCCTGTGTGGTCAAAGGGGCCTGTTCGTAGTGCGTACTCTGAGCTGATCGCCAGAGTGTTGGCCCAGTGGGCATGGCCCCTCAAGCAGGACAAAAGGTGTCCATCTTTCGAGTCCCAAACACTGATTGTTGTGTCCCGCGAGCTTGAGTAGATGGCGCCGTCGCCACCCCATGTCACACAAGTGATCGCCTTGCTCTGATTTGACAGTGTCAACTGGCATCGCCTGAGAACATCAGCCACTGCGAATCCAGTGGCTATCCAGTACAAAGCAAAGCGAGACTCGAAACGAATGTGCAGCAATCGCTAAGCAGTAGTTTTGCAACTGTGCACAAAGAAGAGAAACGGCCTGAACTGTGAATTCATGCATTGGAGCTTTGTCACTGTGCTGGAGAATACGCACCAATATGGCTGGGAGCACTCTCAATTCAATGATTGAGTGTTTTGTCACGTACATGGTCTTGAACAGTGTGAGAAAGATCCACTATTCCAACGATGAGAATTAAGTGCGCACTGCACCGCTTGGTTGTCGGACACTCAGCACGCATGTTCTTGCTGCTTATTACCTGTTGTACTTTATTTGGCCAGTCCGCCACAGCAATTATTTTCAGGCGCAGCTCCCAAAGCAATACAAATACAGATGCAAATTAACAGTGTACAAACACACAGTGACAGTGCTTGCCTTGCCCTCCAACTTATCCGAGCATATGCTATGGCACAGATGCCATAATAAGGCAAGTGGGAAAACTTGAAGTGAATGCCGCAGATGACGCATAACGTGCGCCAAATGTGCTGCAGCACACATTGACAGCAGATAATCGTAATGTGTCTGGCAACACAGTCATAATATCAATATGTTGCAGTGCACAAAGGCGCACTGGCGTGGAACAAACTCTCACCTCGTCCTTGCATCAAACACCCTGATGGTGCAGTCTTTTGAGCCGGTGCAAAACCTCTGGCTGGGGTAAGCTAGGTGTGCAGGTTCCCAGGCCTATCATGGAAAAAGCACTCGTTGAACAGATCAGGAATTTGTTGCAAATCCGTGTTCCAATGGTTACCCATCAACTGATGAGTGGCTCTGCAAACTAAACCCCTCGATGCAGGTGCCAAAGGTTTGCCCACAGGATTCGTCACACTTGGACAAGAAAATGGGCCTGCTGCAATGCCCCACACTGAGCCGCACATTCAGCAGTTCGCACCATACGCCCCCTTTTCTGCATTCGCATGTTCACTGCCACTGCAGCCGGAAAGTATTCTCTGAGGTCATTGCCACAGGATGTGGTGTGGGGCAATTAAAATGCAAGGCTTGAATTAGCATTCCTGACATTCCACTTGGAAGCAATAGCAACACTCAACCCACACGGCACAGTTTTTGACTAATCAGCAGAACACTATGCCGCGTAGCCACATCGGCAGCTATTCTAGTTATCAGCCATGGCACAAAAAGCATCCCTGTGAGATGTACAGCACACTCGTCACCTTTGATGAGCAGATTCAATTGGCTACAGCAGATCCATGCGTCAGAAGAAGCAGGAGATGCAGTCCTGCTGGTGCAACAAGCAATCCACAGGCACACATGGGGATAGTGACACAAGGATACTCACTATGGATGATATCCACTTCTGGTGGCCCTTGCAGAGACCCAGGGGCTCCCCTGTGTCCGCAGTCCACAGCCACACCTTCCCATCCATGTCCCCAGTTGCCAAAAGGCGAGCATCTGGTGACCAAGCAACAGCTAGAACCCAATTTGTGTGACCCTGGACAGACATCGACAAAATTATGTCCATGGCAAGAGTCCCTATCGATGGGCATCGGAGAACCAGGGTACCGGCAAATGGCATAGTTGCCACCACACCATGAAGATGGATGTCCATCTGGACACTTCCAAAACACCATGGATGAAACATGCGATTGGAGTTGCACAACGTTGTCAGTGCCTGTGACACATTTCTAGATTTGCTCGTGTTACCTTTCTCTGATGCAACAAATTGGTTGTGCATTACGCTGTAAGCCTACAACAGTGACATGTATTCAAGACTGCGGTTCCATTCTTGTTCTTGTTGCATTGCTTCCTTCCGCATCGTTTGCACTGCATGAAATTGACACCATCAGTTGTTTGTAGTGGACAGCATCTCCTTGGAGTTCCTTTGCCAGCATTTGAGAAAGTGTTCCAGGTGGATGCCACGTATGCCCTTGCAGGCACTAATTTGCCCAGTTGAGATGCCATTGTACGTGTATTTTCAAACAATCCGGCACTCCTCAACAGTAAGGCTAGCTTAGGTGTATGCCGTTGATCTCTCAGCAGCCCGATGGTGATGGAACAGAAACCAAAGGAAAAGCCAGGTGGACTGAAGTGGAGCACAGGATTCTCCCTGGCAAACCGATGGCGAGATGGACAGCCCACCTGCCCAGTCTTCAGTGGAGTTTGCGTGTCCAAGTCCCAGAACCTGACAGTGCAGTCTCCGGAGCCACTGGCAAGGTGCTTGCCATCAGGGCTGAAGCTCACGGACAGGACTGCCTCAGAGTGGCCTGGTAGGGAGACAGATAGGCAATCGCTCAATAATTAAGCAATATGCAGCAATTGCTCACAGTGGACGCAATGAAGGGCCAGACCTGCCATGGACTCTTGCCATGGTGTCCTCTCCCTAACGCAGAGGTGTGATTGAGTTTGGGACAGTGGGATTAAGGGTTGTAACCAAAGCTGCAGTATGGTTGACTTCGGCAGCATGTGCTGTGCTGTGTTGCTCCATGGCACTGGGGCTTCCATGGGCATGTTTGCCACTCCCAGGCTTGGCTACAGGGCAGCATATCTTCCAAAGCTTAGAACACAGCCAATGAAGGTGCTCTTTTTCGACAGTGCCCTCAAAAGCCAGCACCTACACTGCACATTTTGCCGCCCCCATTTCACATGCCTTTGGGCCCATCGGGACTGCTTGTGAAACACTTTACTGTTGAACACCTGTACAGAGTTCGCAACTGCGATACTGGCACATGGAGCAAGCAATGGTTGAGCGCTCCGCCCATCATTGCAGGCGGGTTGCAAGGAATCTGTTCGCAACTGCAGCCCATGGAAGTCATTCCTCCCTGCCGCTGATCACCCGACGCCTGTCAAGGCAAGCGCCTGCTCCCCAACCGGACACGATTCCGGAAATTTTGAAGGCAAGGTCCTGTGTTGGGAGCTTAGGACGATGCGATACACGTGGACGCGTTCACCTGCGCAGCTTCGCAGGCGCCTACCTATCCTTCAGCACCCACGAACGCAATCAGACCAGGAGCATCCCGCACCTGCCAAGGACGCTGTGCACCGCGATATGGGCCGCACCCTGAACACGGCTTGCGGCCGGTACACGATCTTGAGCGCCGCTTCCACGGAGGCGGCGTGCTGCCGCAGGTGGTCCCCCAGGGGCGCGGCCAGCTCGAGGCCGCCCACCTGGAAGGAGTAGGGCACCTTGTGCTCGTTGGAGAGGATGCCGTTCAGCAGCGTCTCCAGCTGCGGTGTCGTCACTTCGGCCGGCACGTCGAGCTGAGGACCTGCGCGGCGGGGCGCCAAAAGGCGTTGGGCGTCAGGGCGGGCACGGGTGCCGAAACCAAAGGGGCAAGAAAACTGGCATGCGCCGCAATTGCCTGCGCAGCAATTCGCGGCAGTGTCGTTTGCGGTAGGGCGACGAGGGGGGGGTTAGCAAAAGCGCTGCAGGTTCAATCCAGCCTCTCCACAGCGTTTCCGCGGCCGATTGAGACGACCCCGGCGGCGACAGAAACTGGGGGAGGGGGTCCCAGGGCCAACCTGCTGCCACGCCATCTTCCGATTCGAACTGCACGATTACGTTGGCGCTGGGGGAAGAGGAGGAAGCGGCCACCTTGCGGGCCTTGGCGGGTCGGTCGGCCATGGCTGCTCGGGGAGGAGGTGGGCGCCCAGCCGCCGCAACAGGCAGGGCTAGAGCGAACACAATGTACGGATGCGCCCTTGGGGCCCGGGGAACAATCCATGACAAATACACAGGCGACAATGATTCCCTGGCGGTGTTGCACCTAGAACTGATTGAATATTATTAATAAGAGAATGCACGAAAAGATGATTAAGCACTAGGAATTGCATTAAGGACGTTGATGAACGGACTGAATATAAAGGACAGAACGCCTGCTGTGCTTTTGCCTCGGCTGTAAACCGTTGCTGTGGACTCGAGCGTACGATTCCCGTTCAGGGATCGCCACCCCACGATCCTGCCTGCCTTCGTCAGCGGTGCGTTTCGATCGCTCGTCTCTGCTTCAATGGAGTTCCCAAGACCGATCACTGATACAGAGACGGAGACCTTATCTTTTCATACCCTAAAGCCTAACGCGGCCTGAAATTAGTCGCTCTGTCTTTGCCGGGAAGACCCCTTTTTGTTGCGGACAACCCAAACCTTAGCCACTGACGCACTGACTTGCATTGTCAGCGGAAGAAGAAGGGATCTTCACGGAAAAGACACAGGGACAAATACATTCTTCCCCAACGCCCTACGCCCAATCGTGACACGTCTCCGCCTCCGCCTCTGTGTGCGCGGTCCGTATCGGGAAATCCTGAAAACCCTAGAGCCCAACCGACTGCACGTATTTTACAATGCACGCAACACAACAGCTGCAGCACAAATAAAATCAAAGAATAGCACCTGGATCCGCTACAAAACTGCATCACAGTCTTTCGAACCATGCTCTCGTCCCAGGGACACCAGTGACTCGCACTGGGGGGCCCGTCTCTACCCTCAAAAATCTCGCCTCAGTTCCACGGCAGTCTTCATTCTGGTGATCATCTGAGGCACGTCCATGGCACCCAAGTCACCGTCCTTCCTGGTCCTCACCGACAGCGTGCCCGATTCGACCTCCTTCTCACCCACAACACACATCACAGGGGTCTTGGCCCTTTCGGCGTTCCTAATGAGTTTTCCGATGCGTTCGCCATCACAAACCTCCGCCCGGATGCCCACATCCCGCATCTGCGAGGCCACAGCTTTGGCGAAGTCGGTGAAGGCGTCCGTGACAGGGAGTAGGCGGCACTGGACGGGGGCAAGCCACAAGGGGAAAGCGCCAGCGTAGTTTTCGACGAGAATGCCGAAGAAGCGCTCGATGGAGCCGAAAATCGCCCTGGAAAGGGACAATAGTTAACGGTTTCACTAATCCTGCCAGCAACATCGCAGCATGTATGCCTTTGTGCGCGTCGGAAATGGCGATGATCCACGGAGCCTGTGGCCGATCTGTGAGCATCTCTGAAATCTCTGGTGCACCTAGTTTCGTCGCAGGGGAAGTGTCCAAAACCAGAATGGTGACATGACCACAGCCAGTGTGGAGTACACGGCCGCCATGTCATACCCAAACATCTTGGACTGCGCATTTTTGCTTGGGAGCAAGGATCCACAGTTCCATTGCCGCCCTTGAAGAACTTTAGAGAGTGATGCCAAGCCTTGATTCCAGCGTTGTTGCGTGGTAAGTGGGCAGCACAGTCATGCAAACATCATACCGACACCACACTTTCAACAGTGTGACCATGGCTACAGGGGATTCCATCCCTCATATTCTGCGCGTCCCCTTTTCTCATGATCTAATGACAAAAAAGGGTGTCTGCAAGTGCACTTTGAGAACCCTTTGCTAAATGCCACAAGCTCTGGACATCTCTTTCATGCTCCTTCTAGACTACTGGGATGCTCTGAGGTGGCGCTGTCACAATGGGTATGGTGCTCACCTGTGGATCATAATTGGCCGGCGTTTCGCATTGTCCGCATCGACATAGGACATGTCGAATCGCTCTGGCAGGTTGAAGTCCAGTTGAACAGTGGAGCATTGCCACTTGCGACCAATGGCGTCCTGAATCTGCAAGCAATGCAAGCCACAAACTTGGAAGCAACTTGAACACAATCACAATTCGATCGTGACAACGGCAACACTCCGCTTCAGTATGCAGAGTGTTTGAGGCACCAGTTGCTATTCTGACTGCTGGTCGTTCGCCAACAATAATGTATTAGGATGTTGGGATACTTTGCAGCACACCCTACAGGTCATTTCGCACCATGGCCTACAACACCCACAAATGGCGTCGAAATCCTCAACGTAAGGGACGTCTGCTGTATCTGCAGGCCACAGCTCGATTCTCCAAATGCAGTAATCGCTCATCCTTTCTTCCAAATGTGTTTTCGCCAATGCCCTTAACTATCTTGCGAGGGGTTTTACCTTCACGTCGATTTTTGGACCATAGAAGGCTCCACCGCCATTGTCGACCACATATGCCCAACCCTTAGATTCCAGCGCCTCCACCAAGGCTGCCTCCGCTGTGTTCCATATTGCATCAGAGCCAACAGACTTTTCTGGCCTGGTTGAGAGATTGATTTCGTATTTCGTGAACCCAAAGGCTGTCATCATCTCCTCAATGAGGTCCAGCACACCAACAATTTCCACTGAAATTTGATCTGGTAAGCAGAAGATATGAGCATCATCCTGCCACACCAAAAGCCATTTGTGTGAGCATACTGAGTTTCTTCCTTTCATGTGCACAAAGAGGGTGGACAATGATGCTGCAGCCCTATCCCACAGTCTAAACTTCGTGTGACAAAATTGGGCAATGACTTGTCAAAAGTTCGACAGTGTAGTTTATGCCAATTTGCGGGTCACCCCAACAGACACTAACCAGTGCTTGCATGGTTGAGGCCTCGACGGGACGCTGATAACAAACCTATTGCACCACTAGTTTTCAGCAGGCACACACCACAAAAACCTCAAAAACACAAATTGCTACAGAATAATCCTAAATAGGTATTTTGACGACCACAATGACGGTGACAGTAGGCAGCAGCTTATTATTGGTACTGCTTGCTTTCCATTCTGCAGACTCCAATATGTTTAGCCCGGAATTGGGATACACATACAAAGGCAAACTTCTCTGAAAGGTTGTCGTCAAAGTCCACAGGGTATTTTCGCTCATGCATAGCAGTCAACTGATGTCCTTGCGCTGGCCATGCACTTCCAATTTTCATTTATTGCAGCCACACTGACAACAGTCAAAGATGTTAATCCATCTGCAAAATCCACATAACAAGAAAACAAATCAGCTTGATTTCGCAGTCACCTTTACGAATATGTCTTTTGTCTGCTCTTCTACATAGGTTTGGGTATGTTCTCTTGGGCCAGTGTTGTGAGAACCTTGCAGGTCAACTGCTGCTATCCAATTAAGCCGAACTCAACAGTGTCAGCGCCATGACCAGAACATTGTTCCCACGTTACTGGAATGGATAGATTCATGCGCTCACCTGTGTGAAGCCTCTTACTCGAAACAGTCCATGCATTGTCCCCGATCGTTCATAACGGTAGACAGTCCCAAGTTCAGCCCATCGAATAGGAAGGTCCCTGAGACACCAGGCCAGTAACTTTCCAAAACAAGATTCTGCATCGCATCAGTGTGGTGGAGAGCATGGCACTGTTGCCAGGTCACGTTAGTGCTACCATGGTGCCATAGTTGTAACGATGGGCATCCCACCACAAGACATTCTGAGCAGTAAAGACTAGTTTGATGTGCGCAGACCATCATGAACATCAGCAGGAAAGGACACACTGTGCTGATGGGAACACGTGCTCCCATATGAATGAATGTACAAAATGCTTCCAGTTCCAAACATGGCCTTGCTGCTCACAAGGGCTTTCACATTCAAACATTTGTGGTCTTAAATACATGGTCATCTTCTGCACACCAAGCACAGGCTGCAAATAGCACATATGCCACAACCATGTGTATTCTGAACACACATTACATTCATGGGCGGGTTCCCATTCTCCATGCTCATCCTATATATTGTACGGCCTCTTAAGGAAATTCTTGACAAAACATTCTGAATCCTGGACCTCACCTATAGGAGCGCTGAGCATCAGTGTACATCAGAATGTGGAATGGGCAGTTCATGGGCTTCAGCTGGTATGATACATCCTCCACATCCATCTGATCGTACATATTTTCATTGTAGAAATCCATGTGCCCTGAAGTGCACCACAAGTCAGCCTGCAAAGAAAAACACAGTCCTGTCAGCATGACACACCAGCTATGCAAACCATACTTTCAGTTCCAAGATGGTTCACAGAAAAACACTGTCACTTGCCCTGGCATTTGCTAATGGGACTGCCGCAGGTGCAGAGGACGTTCCACAGCAGCCAGACTCACAACAGTGGTGCGCCATCGTCTGTGAGCATACAATGGGATGCAGGGAACTACTGACAACAGTGTTAATGCACTTGGCAGCACAGAGCTAATGCACACACGAAATGCACTTGTTTCATGATTGACCAGCTCCCAGCAGCTGGCCATTGTCATTACATATCCACAGCTCAAAGGCAAGTACCGCATTACGACAACATGGCAGCATTTGAAAACACAAAGTTACACTTCAAGTTTCACTTTAATTCGATTTGTACTACACACAAACATGCTAGCCCAAGATGAGCCAAGCATTGGAACAAGCTATCATACTGTGTGAAATCCAACACCACACTGTGGATTACCGACACTGGACATATCAACCCAGGAATGAACCATAAGCAGCAACAAGGACAATTGATCCTTTTTGCCACTAAACCAGGACAAAGAGCAGGATGCTGGAACGTCTCAGAGCTACTAAATGAGTCAGTTGACCATGAGGTTGGTACCTTTGCAACGTGTGGACTGCACACCAAATCGTAGCCCCTCTGCAAATGAATGTCTTTCCAGTACCTCTCAATAACATCCCGTACCGCTGCCCCCTTGGGATGCCAGAACACCAGGCCAGGGCCAGCCAATTCTTGCATGCTGATACAACAAGATCAGGGCACCATCAGATAGTCAACAAAATGTTGCCGCCAAAGTCTGCTCAACATGGCGCCAAAATGTTCCAAAATGAATGCCCTTGACACCAGTGATGGATCCAGTGACTCAGGCCCATAACACATTGGAAAAAAGGCTGGTTTTCCTATGCTGCTCTTTGCTCCCTCAGCGTGAATAGGCCAAATAGATTGAGAAACATAAATCTGTGCATCTTAAGAGCACTGTCGTTCATGTCCACAGAATCTGGCAACACAATACACCACTGTGAACTCCTTCCACTGCATTGGTCAGTACAGGAAAAGAATGCTGTTGCACCTTCCAGGTGATGACCACTGCAACAGGGCACACTTTCTAATTCTGTCCATCTGCAGGCTGGCGTGCAGCCAGAACATTGACAATATGCACTACTCCAAGGTAACCGCAAGTTGTCTGTTGGCAATTTCACTACTCTTGCCTGAAAAGATCAAGCTGCTTTCCAAGTTTTCGATGGTCCCTCTTTGCAGCCTCCTCCTTCAACCTTTCATACGCTTTGAGCTGCTTTTTATTCTCCCATGCTGTCCCATATATTCGCAGCAGTTGCTTGTTTCGTTCATCGCCCCGCCAGTACGCACCTGAAGCAAAGAATTAATGACTTATTTCAAGATGAATTAAAAACTCCAGAAATCCACTCAATGCATTGAATTACTGTTTGGCATGAAAATCAAAATGTCATTACAATAACAAAAAGGGATGAGACACCCGAGAAGCTGCATATGGTTGACAAGCTGCACAACACAACCATCTTGAGCATGGAATTCAACGAATGGATGAGGCGCTCCTCTTGCAGCGATGCATAACCACGATTGCAATGACCCTCTCAGAGCACTGATAATTCATGAACCAGTGAGAAGTCCTCCAACTGAGCAAGCACACATCCATGACATGACAAAACCATTGCTGTGGACGATGCCTGGGACACAACACCGCCACACCACAAATCGCATTCCCATCAAGCTGCCTCCACCACACATCAAGGTGAACGTGCAGCACACTGTCAACTCACAACAAACCTGCTCACTACAGAATGCACAAAAATTCGCAGCCAGTGTGGCGCACAACCGGTGGTGTGCAGAATAAATCTTGGGACAACCCAACAAACGCTCATAAAATCATTCTGTGCCTGCAATTGCTTGTACTGTGCAAGGGCAGTATGTTTGCCATGCATAGTTGACAAGACATGCCCTCAAACTTCACTTGGGCCCATATACAGCCAAGGGTCATGTTTGAGGTTTTCACCTGCAAGAGACTCAAGATCGAATGCATCCTGCTTGATCTTGCCAGTGCTCTCCACATGGGGTCCACTGCACAGGTCCCACCAATGGTCCTCTTGTCCCTTTTGGCCTATGTGGTATATGGTGATGGGCGCATTTGCATCCTTGCCCACAATATCAGTCAGGATCTCCTTCTTGTATGGCTCGCCTACCTCCTCTATGCGTTCGATGGCCTCCGCCTCGCTCACCTGCAATACAGAAACGCTTGAAATGTACCTACTGGTCCAGTGCACGACCAGGAAATGTATTTAGCAAAGCAGGGTACACATGACATTTCATTCTGAGACAGTAAATTACAGGTAGAATTTGGGGAAACACATTTAAGGAACAATTTTGAGGCTGTACAATGCTTTAGTCACTGCCTCAAGGGTGCAAGAGCTGTGCTTTAGCATTTGGACAATTGAGATCATAGTCAGAATTGCACAATGTGCAAGCATCTCACAACAATGATAGCAATGCAGGAGGCCAGGCGTGAAAACTAAGAAAACCGAACAACACTGCCACAACATAATCCACTACAATAGTTGAGCTATTGCGGAAAGCAAGCATGTGGTGTTGATTCATGGTACCATGCAGGAGAACGGCATCCAATTACCTCCTCACAAATAAAGGGCAGGTCTTTTCCAACGATCTTCCTCATTTCTTTCCTGATGGCCTTCAGATCTTGTTCTGTGACCACCGCACCATCCATGTCGAAGTCATAGTAGAAGCCGTAGTCAATTGCGGGGCCGATCGTGCACTGTGCTGTGGGGTACAGCTGCTTCACCGCCATCGCCATCACATGGGCACACTGCACGCCCAGGTTTAAATGTTATGTCCTCTTACGCAGCCTGAGCAGGCAGCCATGTGTGGCCAAAAAGACCTTCTCCATGCACACCTTCGTTGTAACGGAATGGGAAATGCATCTGCCCTTGTCTTTGCAAGGAGTCTGATGTCCCTGGCTTTCAACTTCCAACTAATTTCACCCAATGAGCTCAGAGTTACTGGGAAATTGCAAACCTGCAGTGTGGAAAGTACTGCTACCAGAAGAAGTTCAGGGCCAAAGGACTTCCACCATTGAAACCAACTGTTTGGCAAGATTGTATCTGGCAATTTTGACAACCAGAATGGCAACCTCAATTCAAACGCAATGACTGGGCATGTGCTTGAAGTACAGTGCCCTTGATGTCTTGCGATGCATTTCTGGTGCCACGCAGCTTCTTGAACGGCCAGCACCCAAAGAAAGAAACTGCCATTGTGAGCCTCCTGCCACAAAAACTCTTCGATGCCCGTCGAATCCGCCCCCTTCAACTCCTCATGTCCCCACCATCCCCGTCACCCATGCCACCAAACCACCAGCCTGCCCCCACTCACGCTGTGGCGAATCCTCAGCAGCTCCGGGGACTCCGACGTCGCCAGGAGCTGCACATCCTCCTCGCTACCCGCCTCCGCCCCCCCGGCCGCCCTCTCCTGCTCCGCGACGCCGGTGGCCGCCCTGAGCCTCAGGACCGCCGCGTCGCCAGAGCTCCATGATCGGCCAGCTCCAGCGCACGTTTCGCCCACACGAGCCCCTGCTGCGTGATCGGGCCGAGGGGGATGGGCCGCGCCCGGGCCAATGCCTGGCGGTCGGGCAAGGCACCGCGATGGGCATGACCGCAAGAGGCGGATCATCGGGCCCTCCTGCGTGCGGCTCCCAACGCCGGCGCCAGAGTTGATGGAGGTTGCGTGGCCTGGCCGGGTGGCGAGGCCCAGGAGGGACGTGTGGATTGGGTGGAGGGGATTGTGTCCGAGCGCCACCCGCCCACCAACCCATCGGGGCTGTACGACAAATTTTGATTCCCGATTTTTGTTCGTTTACTTGCACTGGGGAAGAAGGGAAGAAAGACCACCCGCTTTCCCCGACGCCAGTTGTTTCCGGCAGTAGTTTGCCGCTCCGCGGTGTTCGCGCTGCCATATTGGCGTGGTTGGGCACCCCACCCCTTCAAGTTGCCCCTGGCCGGAAGGACCGCTAGCTCTGCGGCAGCCAGGTGCGGTTGAGTGCCCGCCTGTCTGCCTCTCCCCCTTGCCCCCAATCCCGCTTTGGTAGCCCCCTGGCGCTCCACCAGGCAGGGGACGACATGCGGGGCGGGGCCCACCACCTTTTGGCCGCCAATGGCGGGAAGGTCCGAGAGACGACGACGAGAACGGCGTGGAGCCCTGCACAGTGTTCGTCGGGGAAATCGCGCACCTGGTGGACAGGAGGCGGCTGAAAGATCGTGAGTTCTTGGCTGGTGCACGCGACGGCCGCCCCGGTGCGTTGTGTTTGGGGGGCGCAGCCGCGGGCTTGGCGGCGTCGCGAATGGCTGGGGCGTTGCGTGCCGCTAATCGTGAATTGGAGCTTCGCGCATGCGCGCAGAGCGGCCGCGAAAATGCCATCCCGGTCGCTGGCTGCGGCAGTGCCGGTGGTGGATGGCAGCGGGTTGGTGGCGGCAAGAAGCTCTCTCGCAAGCGATATTCCGATTTGCGCGCTCGCCTGCGCCTCGCACCGCCGGAGATGGGCGCGGGGGCAGAGGACTCGTCCCAACATCCTCTGCAGGTGTTTTTGACCTTTCTCTTGGTGGGAACTTCCGTGCTTTGGCTCATTGTCGCTGTCTTTATGCGCAGTGTTAGGGCGCTTCCGCCTCTTGACGCCACGGTGGTGCGTGAAAAGCTGACGTCCCGCCGGCGCTGCTTGGGCTTCGTGACGCTGCCCGACAAGTGGGCCATGGAAGACGTCATCCGGGAGCTGCACAAATCCAAGGTGGACGGCCGCATGATCAGCGTGCGCCACGGCATGCCCAAGGACTGGCAACACCAGCAGCCCATGCGCGACCGCGTGGGAGACTCTGGACAGGGGTGGGCGCGAACGGGGGGCTGTGTGGTGCGACGGGAACACCCTCGACGGGAGCCGTACGCGGTGGGAGGGCAACTAGGTACATGCACTGGGTGCGCGGAGGCGACGTTGGGCACGTGGAGGCGCGCAAAGGCATGCAGACAACTGCCAGATCCGCCGCGGTACCCCGCACGGAGGGCGGACATTGCAGGCGGGACGCCAGGGTGCAGGACGGGGTCCCCAGGAGGGAGAACGGCGACTGCGTGCACGATGCCCGGCGGGCCGACGAAGAGTCTGAGTAACGGGTGGCAGTCTTGGCTGGGGCGCAGAACGGTGGTCGAAGAGGACCGCGTGTGCGGATGGCTTGTTGGCGCCGCCACGGGGCGGATGGTCCTCCGGATGATGCCGACCGGTCCCACAAGGCGGATGGGAGAAGTGGTGCGGGCGCGTGTTCAGAAGTGAGGAAGGTTACCCCCCAACGGGAAGCTTTGCCAACTGCGCGTCGAATGGACTACCGTGGGGAAGTTGGAAGCTGGGACTTACGTGCATTCCACTGGCAGCCCGTTGCGGGCGCCGGGGCTGCGTGTTGCGATCTGGATGCCTTGTCCTTGTTTACCTGCCTAAGGGTGGACCCCAATGGGCACTGGCGAGGGACACCAGGGCACACACTATCCGCCTTGCACGCGACTTGTGTTTGGTCGCATCGCGTGTTGTGCCACCCTCTTGTTTGGGGATGCGAGAAGTGATTAGGTGGGCAACCAGCCTGGCCTGGTAGCAGTTCGTGAATCTGCTCAAGAGCCTTGCAACAGGTCGCACAAGACAGTTGGTTCTGCATTACCAAATCGATCACATTGGACAACTGCCAATCCACCTTTGCATTTTCAATCTGACCAGGTTTCTGTTATCTCGTGATTGACTTGAATATTGGCAGATAGAACGTCTTGTCGATGCAATTTAAACAGGCACCTGGACTTGTGGTCAAATTGTTCTGCTCGATATACTGATGAGGCAGCTTCGCAACACCTGACTTGTCTTCTTATTGTTCCAAGCGGACTGTCAAGAATATCCATTCATGTCAGCACCAGGATTTCTGAAACCCTAAAATACAAGGAACAAGGTGTACAAAGGCCAGGGTTGCAAATATTGGCACGTGTGCAGAGTCAATTTTCGTGTAGTTGAAGCAAGAAGTTTGGGCGCATTTGTGCGTCGCTTTTTTTTAACGATTGCTTCAGTGATTGACACTGTATGCACTGGTGAGTGCAAGGATTATGCATTTCATCTGTACCGTAGGTTGGGATTGGACACCAGGACAGCGTGATGGCCATCAATAGTGCAACCTGCTGATGTTTGGTGGTCACAGTTGGCGCATTCCACCACTGTTTCAAGAAAAGTGAGGAAAGTGTGGAGCTCCCAACGAGTGGGTGCAAAATCACAGATGGGGGAGTGGAGATCTCTGGGTGATTACAGCTTTCTTCCTCAGAAATCTCATTCCCTCATCTGTGATCTTGCAACTGGCTTCATTTGGGATAGCACTACGATGTCTGCCAGTGGTGGTGCTGTGAAGGACTAGGAACTTTGTGTTTGATTCAGATGCATGGCAAGGTGGATCTGGTCAGAGGTGCTTTGTTGCATTCACAAAAGCAGCATTTGGAGATTAGGCTGTTCAATACCATGGAGATCATTGATAGCTGAAATACAGGCAATCGCAAGGAAGCCAGTGCGGATTGTGCCTGCCACCTTCTTTTGGTGGGTAATGAGGCTCGTTTGCCAAGTGTGTGTGTTTGTGGTGTGTTTTGCATGGTATCACAGCATTCAAGAGTCAGTGCTTCCAGCTGCTGCAGCAAGGGTTTGTGAAAGATTAGGTCTGCTGGACTCAGTCCACTCATTGTCAATGGAAATACACAAGTGCTGTCAGCAGCGCCCCCCATCCTCCGTGCCACATGGTTGTCAATTCAAACCATAGGTAGTTTGGGCAGGATGTCAAACAAACGTTTGTTATGGAATGAAACTCGTTGCAGGTTCAAGTATTTTCATTTGTTGTGTTTTGACAAACGTGAATCACCTGGCCATCCATTTGCTGATGCCGATCCGTTAATGAAACATCCTATGGCATAGCATATTGGTTTTCTCAATGCCAAAATTTCCCTTGTATACGCAAAGATTGTTGAGAAGCCATTACAGGTGAAGCCCTTGCACCTTGCAAGCCATGACGAGCAGAGAAAGATCCAACCCATGTTTGTTCAATGTCCCAAGCTCAGTGCCCATACCACTCAGCTGCACAACTCGGAAAGGGCGGCGGAAAATCCACCCCTATCACGTTGCTTTCTCATTGCATACCAACTGTTTGCTTTAATGGGAGTCTTTATTACTCATGCAGTTGTTCCTTTATCAGTGCCGCCCAATCCATGGGATCTGCTGCCCTTGATAAAATTTGCAGTAGGCCAACAGTACCCTTGAAGGAACATTGGTTCAGGCTTGCGCCTTCAACATCGGCCTGCAACATCGGGGTAGCTGGAAGCCGCTGCGATTCATGCAGGGCACCGATCAACAGGCCAATTGCTGTTAACCTGTCTGCGCCCAATATCTGCGGCCTGTAGTGCAAGAATGCAGGATGCCTGGTATTGTTTATCCAAATCGCTGCTGATCACGCAGAGAACGCCAAAACCCAGCAACTGCCACATGCTGAGATATGCTCACTCAGGATTCCCCTGAGAATCTTCTGTGGTCGGCAGGCTCGGCCACTTCACGTGAGTTTGCCACCAATCCAGACCCAAAGTAGCGTGCAGGTAGCGTGCAGGCAGTACAAACCGTGTCCCAGGAGCAGCGCAAATCGGCGCGACTGGCAATGGCAGAACTGAGTGATTTGCGAGCGCGATTGGCAAAGCGGTGGATGTTGGCCCCATGGTTCGTACACCGGGCGTCTCGCGCCCACACCTACTCATACAATGCGCAAGCCGTACATTGGAACCTTCGAACTCGCCTGGGCCAGCATTTCCTCGAAAGTTTTGAGGTCTTTGGGCCCGGGGGCGCGTGACAATTCTGTGGGCGCACCCCGACGCCTCGTGCCTGCTGCGGTCCACGCCGCAGATCCGCCCGAGTCATCTAGCAATAATCGCCAGCGTGTGGGCCCTTTAATTCCACTCCCACATTCACGCTGATCTCGGCGCCGTTACTCCGACGCAAACTAGGCGCGGGGGCCACGGCCCCGACATACTTCAAACAGCACGGCTCGTACTCCCCTTTGCCCCCCCCCGCTGACCCAATTCTTCGTGGGCTGAGGAAAGAGACCAATCGAGTGGAGTGGGGAGGCCCGCAGGCCGGAAACCGCCCCCAGGGCGCCACCCGCCGCGCCACTGAGGCTGCCCCCTCGCCTCGGCCGGCCCCAACACAGGCCGCATCGTCCCCCTGCCCGTCCTCCCACCCCGCCGACCAGCCCAGCGAGCGGCAGGAGCAGCCATGGCGCTTGACATCCGCATCGCGGGGAAGTACCGCCTGGGGAGGAAGATCGGCGGCGGCAGCTTTGGGGACATCTACTTGGGTGCGTGGCGCTCAGCCGCGACATGGCGCCCAGCGCGTCGGGTCGCCCGCCCGGCCACCGTGCCGCTGCCTCCGCTGGCGCCCTTATCTGACTGACACTGCCGTGGGGCCCGCACCCTCAGGGACACACATACACACCGGGGAGGAGGTCGCCATCAAGCTGGTGAGCAGAGCGCGGCGGCTCGCGCGCGGGGGGGCGCGCTCCGCTATGCGTCCGCCCTGTCGGCCGTCGATCGGCGAGCTGGCGGAGACTGAGTGCGCCTGGCGTCCTTTGGCGTGTGCAGGAGTCGGTGAAGACACGGCACCCGCAGCTGTTGTACGAGTCCAAGCTGTACAAGATCCTCCTTGGGGGAAGTGAGTGTGCCCGCGAGCGCCGCGCCGACTCGATCCGTTCGCCGCGCGCGCCACCTCGCACCCGTGTCGTTGTGTGGGAGGCTCATGCCGGCTTCCCGTGTGCCTGTGCGGCCAGCCGGAATACCCAACATCAGGTGGTATGGCGTGGAGGGGGACTACAATGTGATGGTGCTGGACCTGCTGGGGCCCTCCCTGGAGGACCTCTTCAACTTTTGCAACCGCAAGTTCAGCCTCAAGACGGTGCTCATGCTCGCTGACCAGCTGGTGAGTCGGACGCGCATTCCCCACTGCCCCTACGCACCCGCCCGCACCCGTCCACCCGTCCCAGCGCGGCTCCGCACAGCCCCGTCCGCGCCTGACGGCCAGCGCCCCCGCTCCCCGCAGATTACCCGCATCGAGTTCACGCACTCCAAAAGCTTCATCCACCGCGACATCAAGCCGGACAACTTCCTGATGGGCCTGGGCAAGCGCGCCAACCAGGTGCACATCATCGACTTCGGCTTGGCGAAGAAGTACCGCGACCCGCGGACGCACATCCACATCCCCTACCGGGAGAACAAGAACCTGACGGGCACGGCGCGCTACGCCAGCATCAACACGCACCTCGGGATCGAGCAGAGCCGGCGCGACGACATCGAGTCGCTGGGGTACGTGCTGATGTACTTCCTGCGGGGCAGCCTGCCGTGGCAGGGCCTGAAGGCGGCCACCAAGAAGCAGAAGTACGAGAAGATCAGTGAGAAGAAGATGTCCACGCCGATCGAGATCCTATGCAAGGGCTTCCCGGTGGTCTTTGTAACATACTTCCAGTACTGCCGCTCGCTGCGCTTCGACGACAAGCCGGAGTACGCCTACCTGCGCAAGCTGTTCAGGGACCTGTTCGTGAGCGAGGGTGAGTGGCGGGGGGAAAGGGCGCCGGTGTTCTGCTGAGTCCGCAGAGGTATCCGCGCTGCAGGGAGACAGGTTACTCTCGCAGGGATCGGCCCCGTGGGCGTGTTGTGGGTGCACGTCTCGATTCGAATTGTTGTCAACCAACGCACTGAACTTTCCTGGAACAATAGTGATTCAAGTTGGGCCAGCTTGTGATGGCCTTCTTGGCAAACCCAACAGTTTTGTCCGAGAACCTGGGAAGAGGCCAGATCGTCAGAAGTGCTGGGCGCATACCCCCTTGCCAAACCGAGGAAGTGGTGCACATAAGTATGAATTGAGCTGTTGCAAGCCATGCAGTCAACATATTCCAGGTCGCTGATGGCACTGTGGCAAGCCTCTCATCAATCCGAGGTTTGTTGAAAACGGGAGTGCTGTGTGCTTGTTTGGATAGGAGGGCATCTTGGGCTTATCTGGAAGGACATGTCAAACTAGGGCAGCAGAATCCTTGTCCATTGGTCAACACAGCGTTTCCAGAAAATCGAGTGCTTGTGCTTGACACTGCTGGGCATCTTGGGGGTAGCAAGACCTGTCAAGAATACTGGCCCTCTAAGTTGGTTTGGACACAAAGCATTTGACAGCCATCGACAAGGCTGAAATGCTGGTTTATTACCTACCATCTTGTTGTGTCGTTCTGCCCTGTATTTGGCACTGCAGTGAGCATTGCCGTAAAACCACTGGGCACCCACGTTTGGCCGATGTGATTTGTGCAGGGTACCAGTGGGATTATGTCTTTGACTGGACGATTCTGAAATACCAGCAGTCGCAGCATCGCAGCAGTGCACGCAATGAGAGTGGTGGAGGCACTGCCCAGGCGCAGAGGGGGACAGATGAGAGGGAGCAAGGGGGCCCTTCTCAACCAGGCGAGAGCAGAAGAGCAGCGGGTTGGCACTAAGGCAAGCTACAACCGTGTGCTTTAAGCTATGTGTAGATGCTCGGACCCAGGAGTTATGCTAACCTTTGGATGTCAGCTCCAAAGTGGGTGCCATACAGGCCATTTTCAGCAAAATTGTACTGGTGCTGTTGGCGCGATCACGTGGGCCAATGGGCCAGTTGATTGGCATGTTGCCAACTCTGCTGGGTCTAGACTTGTTTGTCACAGATCCTGTTGAATTTCAGAAACTGCACTAGCTTGGTAATGTCAAACAAGCGATGGCATGGCAAAGTCCAAATATGATTCCCTATTCTCTTGCAGGGCTGGCCAGTTGGGCATAAGGGAATTGTACAAGGTGGCTGATGATGTTCACGATGGCCACAAGGCAACCAGAAATAACAGTCACTTCCACGGGTGGGGTGAATTCAGTGGCACCCACCATCCCCAGTTGATGGCAGCATGATTTTGGGGACTGCGTAGATCTGCCAGAGGAAGGTGCTTGGAGGTGCCTTTTTGGGAGAAGGCATTCGCAGGGGTGCCGGCTCACTTATTCTGGCTGCCTTGCTTCGATCTGTTGCACCTTTTTTATAACGTTCTTATCTTTTGTGTTAATGCATGTGCACGTGGGGACCCTATCACCCCCGTGAGCGGGGAAAATGACAAGATGCACAGGTTAGTTAACGAAATGGAGCAGCGTAGAGGGAAACACGACCAGACACAGTCCAGAAGCATATGCTGTGTGCCAGTCTGGAGCAGAACTGCACTGCCTGTGCCCTGGTGGATTGGCAACATGTTGGGAGGTGCCTTCCACACATAGGAAACGCCGTTTGCCAGCGACCACAGTATGCAGGGGTTCATGGGCTCAGTGTGAAGTGTTGCATTGGTGTTCTTGGGAGACGCCCTGGCATGTGACATTCCGGCCTGTAGTTTGTTAGGGTGTCTCAGGTTGATTGGGTCATGTTGGCTGCCATGCACCGTGTGGTTATGGTGTTCTGGTCAACATGTCCCACTGCTCTCCTGAGGCATGATCAGGGCAGGATCAAGTGTTTAAAGGGTCATGACAGAGACGAATGCCAACTAAGGATGGACAGGGGAGGTTTGAAGTGTGGCAGTATGTGAGCTACTGTATGTGTGTGTGTGTGTGTGTGTGTGTGGGTTGATATGTTCGTTTGCCCGTTGCGTTGCGAGGGCACGTGAATTCATGTTTTTGTTTGGTGGCGATTTTAGAGGGAAAGGAGCTGGGTCTGAAGGATAGTTCGGTGGAAAGAAGGACCGCAATATATTTTATGGGTCGTAGGCATCGGCTAGATGCTGTGGGGGCAGGGCGACGGGTTAGGGGGCTCTCTTGGGCGTGGCTGTAGAAAGAAAGGGGTCATGAAGGGAGAACGTCTGTGTGCTCCAAGAAGATGTTGTAAGGTGGCGATTCTGAGATGAGTCGCATGGGCTGATTTTGAAGCCCCACAAAGAGGCTGTTGTGGATGACTGTGCATGCTGGCCCACGCTGCTCCGTGCGGACATGAGAAAATCCGAACTGGTTGCATGTGCCAGTGCATGACGGATTGCCGCCCTTAAATGCGGGGCAGCCTGTTGCGAGATTGAAAAGGTTGGCTGGTGGAACTTCGTGATGGCACCTGGTGGAGGCTGTTTGCATGGTGTGCTTCTGTCCCCAGAGGCCACAGCCATGCCACAAGTCTTGAAAGTGGCTTAAGCCACTGCGGTTCCCGTTGTTCGCACAGCGATACTGAAAGGGCAGATCCTCGATGGGTTTATGCATTCAGTGGTGGTTAATGTGGCTGGCAACCGGCTGGGAACAGGCGGTTCTGTTTCCGAGTCGCACAACGTTCAACAAATGGAGTAAAATGAGCATGTGATCAGAATCTGCATAGAGGGAAGGGTTGATGATCCGAGCTTGCCAAGCCTGTTGACGCGCAGGCCACATGCAAAATGAGACGCATTTCAGTGCAATGTACTGGGTGTTCGCCTCGTGCTTGACAGCGACCCAGTGGCGCGAATTGTGCAGTGCTCCCAGGTATCGTCAGGCTGCAATGTACAGTACAGCCTGGTGCTGCAGAAATTGTCACCCTCGCTGTTGCACATTTGACTATTTCTCGGACAGGCTCAGTAATTGCCCTCGGCTCATGGCCTTGTTGTGATCTGTCATTTGGCGTCCTGAGAAGGCCATGTGTGGCACCCATCAGCGATCACCACCCAGGCGCGCTGGACTGTTACCAGCCTTCAGCTCTATGAGTAGCCGTTGCCAATCCGTCAGGCGCATCAACGCAGTATCCCATCACAATACGCCCATAGCAGTCCCGCCGGCATTGGCGGCTACCAACGGCAGCGGTGCAAGGAACATGCCATCGCGTACCTGCGACCGACACGGCATCCCTCCCGCAGAATGCCCGCCAGGCGCTGAAGGTGGGACCCCACGTTGGTACCTTGCCCATCATTCCCCGTTAATATCTATAGCGCCCCACCATGCAAGGTGCCCGCCGCGTCGATGCACAGTATATCTACAAATCCGGCCAAACATGCGACCCGAAGCGCTGGCCACAAGAAGCCAAAGATCGGTACCTGCTTATCCGAGCCAGCCCGCTCCATGGCGCACATATCAGAGCCATCATCACCATCAAGAATTCTGACATATCAAGGCAAGGAGGCAGCAATTAGCTTCCTATTTCGCAGCAGCAAAACAGTGTCCATGAATTGTGTCATGAGAACCTAAGGCTTATCAGAGCCATGCCAATTTCACGGCTCAATTTAAGCATTGATTCAGAAGCATTCAACACTTATTCGGCAGCTATTCGTTGGGGGCCAAGCTGGGCCCATACTTTCCATTCTACTCATGCTGCACGTTGACACCTCACTACAGTAGAATTATTACAAAGAAAGGAAAGCGTAACAAGGTGTTCATAGAATAGCCAGCATTTCCATCAAACACGCAATCAGTGCCAGAACCGCTTCCTTATCCAAGCGAAACGTAATTGGGTATCTATTCGCCTCCACCCTTGATTCCAAATTTTCCAAGTGCCGACAAATCCCCGCTTGACCATGAGAGTCATCGAATTCAGAATTCATTCGAATTCATTTTGATAGGATGCTGCAGCAAGAAGTATTGCATGTTGGAACCGTGATTTCACTTGCAGCAGCTGCAGCTAATGCAGCAACCTGCCAGAATGTTCGTAAGTATAGATTCAACTGAAATGAACCTGAATTGGCTAATTTCTGCAACCACTCCCCGCTGCTTGTGGACAAGGCTGCAACGGTTGATAAAATCAATGACTTAGTCGTTCTTCAATTTTAAATCAACCTCGCGGCAACACGTGGGCGACGAAATTTCCTGCGACATGTGGATCAGATTCACCACGCGAATGAGCAAAAAACCGCAAACCCAGGCGGCCTTCGCTCACGGGCCAGGAATCAGTGCACGGATTGGATTCTTCGTCCAAGCAACATCAACCAGGCACAAGGGCCTGGAAGACACGAAGGCAAACAGTGAAACAAACGCGCCTGTGTAAAATAGTGGTGGCTCTCTGTGGTGAAGCGCTCAAACATTTAGAAGAGTTCCGTATAGGAGAAAACGACATCTGCTCTAGCAGTGAAGAGTCACTGACCATAAACGGCATCTTGACTTTGAATAAACAGCAGTTGCGCAGCTGCTGGAAGTTGTAGCAACTGCTGCATGAACTGTCCGCAGGAATATCCTGGCACATTCGAAGGCTATCGAATGTGACTGTATTCTGCACAAGCGGTTTCGCAGCAACGTCATCTGGTCAAATGACGACGTTTTGCACAGAATGTGTTTCACTTTGGCCACGATGAGCGTCCATGGGCGCCGCAGCACATCTTGTTTGGGATGTCTCGTCAGTTAAATGATGAGGATAGTCAGCAGAGTTTTTAGAGTACGAGTCCAGACACTGGTAGAAAACTGCATGTTTGCGATGCCAAGTGCGATGCCATTTTGACACAAAATGATGCCATCGCAGTGATTGCGATGGCACGAAAAATGCCTGTGATGGCATCAATTTGTGTCAAAATGGCATCGCAAGCATGCTGTTTTCTACTAGTGAGAGGAACAAGCAGATGATATG